ACTGTCTGCAAAGTATTTGACATGACTTCAACAACTCCAATCCCATAAATGTTTGCTGGTCAACCTCTGAAGACAGGATATTTTACATAACTCCGGCTACAGCTACATCATGTCAATCTTCTCATGGGCTGCCATAGTTAAAAGCTTGGCGTAGCCACAACTTAATACATCTGTCGCTATCGCCTGTTTCTCCTCAACTGGCGCAAATAGGTGTGCTCATTCTCTGACCAGAAGTAAGTTTAAGGGTTTCTGCACAGAGGGATTTTTTGTGTCTGAAACTGGTACACTTTTGAAAAGAAATACGATGTCATGTTGTACCAATTACATTTGCACACTGACTTTTTAACTTAGGTTCGTCATCATTTTCAGAATAGTTTCATTTTCTGCTTTTTTGATATCCATGCACCACGCTCCCCAGTGAGCTGTGAGTCGTGTCTTAACCAAAAAACATGGATAACCAGAACCTTGTCTGAATATTCACAGATCCAGGTGTCAATGCACACTTTTCTAATGGTGCATTTTGTAATCATTTTTTCTGTGTTCATGTGTATGTCCTTACCTTAAGCTGCTGCCCAGGAAACATTCACAAAATTGGTGGTCTTCTTTTCAATGTATATCTCCAATATTGCCAAGAGCATATCAAACCGGACCACTGACAACCTGAAATATACATGGAAATGATCCACAGCTTCTTACTAGTATAATCGACATTGTAGCTTTAAGTTTGTAATATCTGTTATTGTTGTTGCTTTGTCTTTTATCCATTTCCCTCTTTCAGTCTCCTTCTGTGTCACTTTCACTCCCCATCCTGTCACAGGACGTTAGTTTCACCATTAGTTTCATGAGTGTATTCCAGTTGGAAGAAAGTCATTCTTTAGAAATGTTTCAAAAGGTGTGGTCATGGTTGGTTATGTCAAAATTGCACAATTATGAGTATAATGTGGATTTGCCATTTAAGTGTTTTAAGAAACCTTTGGGTAGGATTTGGTAGTAAATTGCTTGATATAGAAAAAGCCAAAGAAACATCAGGGTCCGAACCATTAGTGTTTTTTGACAGTTTTTTTTTTTTTTTATCGACTTGTTTTAGCCCAGGAGAGAAACCAACAGGCCAGTAATTTAGATATAAAATGAAAGCATAGCAACCTTTGTATCTGTTATACTGTTTGCCTTCATTGCTCTTTCTTAACAGCACTCTGCCTTTTTATGGCAGACCAGCCCACAGGAAAGTCACTTACTAACTTTGACAAGTGATATGAAATGAAATTATTGGTGATCACCATCAAACAGACAGGGAGCTGGAATACTTTGTGGCTGGCTGCTGCTTTTGAAAACATTTCAGTCAGACACAAGCATTTATCTCAGCCAGTGAAATCCTCCACACAAAAAAGGGAAAATTTAAGAGTGGTTCTCAAATAGCCAAATTCCATTTTCTCCTCTACGCATCTCAGTGGTGTGCTCACCTAGTAACTGGTAAACACACATCAACAAAGACTAAAACGTATTAATGAACCTTCATTTAAACTCCAAAGAAAACAGTTCAAGTGTTGCCACACTGCAAAACCAGAGGAATATCATCCCTCTGCTGTTGCCTATGTGCCAATCAAGACTTTGCTCGCTGTATAGCCCCCTAACTTTTGTGGTTTTACTGATTTATTGTGTCAATCACTCGCTGGGGAAATGATCTGGCAAAGCAATACAGCATAGGGTGTCCTTGGCTGACCGGCTTACACCTGACCAAGATAAAGAGCTGACAGTTATGATCGGCCGTAAAGTGTCTGAGTAACCACATCTATGATCCAGAGCTTGGCCTCAAACAATAGAGACAAAGACTTGAAGCATGTGCGACACGTGCTGCAAAGACACAAAGAGGTTCAGGGTTTGTTCATTTGGTCTTGCAGGTGTGCCACCTTTGTCATATATCGCATTGTTGACATCTACGGTGCATTCAAATACTCATCTTACGTCTACTTCACACATGGTGATGCATGAATTATTGATTAAAAATCCCACAAAAGTAGGAATGCCTTCTTTGGAAAAAGAAAAAAATGTCTTCTGATACTCCGTCTAAAATTTCAGCTTTTGAAAATGAGGACAAAAACTTTTTTTTTTTTTTTTGAGAAGACACTTACCAAATGTGCCCCATTTGAACATAAACATAAACATAAACATAAACTAACATAAAGTGGTATAAAGCAGATAGCAGCACTCACTGTATTGAGGTGCTAGTATTTCCCATGAGTATTTACAACACCCAAACATCTCTGAGGAAAATGCTGTGCTTTTGATTTTACATCATAACCACCAGGTTGCTAGAGTTTGCAGTTGATTTCAAGAAAGTAAAGAACTCTTAAAGCTACTGTATGGAGTGTTTAGTTGGTGATTAAACAGACTAAATCAACAGTGATACATATGTATGACGCACAATAGCTAATGACACCGAGATAGATAACTTCCATACTTACATTTTTATTGCCTGATACTGCTTTGAGAGGGTGGGTGCTTTTTCCAAATGTTCCATTATGAGTGAAAATTTTCATTTAGTCCACTTTTTCAGACAAGACAAAATCAGCAACAATGAGAATATGTCCACAGAGGGCGCTAACATCAACACAGACATAAAGTTCCTTACAGTAGCTTTAAGTAGCTATCACCTGCACCTTTGCAAAAAATATCTCAGATGAGGGTATCAGCAAAATACTAACAATATCACAGTCAAAATTGATCACTGTGGACATGGGATGATATGTTATGTATGTTTTTTTGTAATTTGATCTTTCTGTTAGAATAAATCAAGCCTCAGGAGATGACTGTCTAACATGAGTCTGGTTCCGCTCAGGGTTTCTGCCTGTAGAAAGGAAGTTGCTAAATGTTGCAAAGTGTTACCCTCATGGTGGATTAAGATGGAGTAAGAGTGGATTTTACCTACCAGATGAGACTCCACCTAATCCCATCTTGATGTTGGGTCTTTTTAAATACAACAGGGTAAGGTCTTGACCAGCTTTTTTTGTAAAGCATCCTAACAACATTTGCTGCGAACTGAAATAAATAGACTGATTGATAATCCCTGTTATGAGGCTCATGGATCTTCACATAAATCAGCAGTTCTTCTACCACCTGTTGCAGATGACATGCATAGATTTGCATCGAATGCCACAAAGCTCCTCTTATAAGTTTTAGCTGGTTATGAAACAGTAAAACCAAGAGGGACTCTTCTTTATATGACAAAAAAGACCCTCAGCAAAGATATAAGCAGTTTCTTTATTGTTAATTTCAATGCCCGTGGTCACTGCAAGCAACCAAGGGTGAAATGAAAAAATCTAAAGCACAGAGAAGTAACCCCCCACCCCTTTTTCCTCACCTTTTTGTAGTCTACAGAAATATCGTACAAGAGCATTAGCACAAATAAAAATTCATACATACGTATTAAATACATAACTCTCATGGATATCAGCATATTTGTGCCGCAAGACATAAAACACAAAGTACAACATTCCTTAGTATATTTGCAGTATCAACTATCTCTAAAACTTGGCTAAAAATCCAACAGCTGATGGGACATGACTTATTTATGTACAAAACATAAGAAATATTGCACTGATCAGAGTAGCCACTTTGTCCAAAGGGGGAGCCAAAATTAAAACAAACCGAGATTTCCTTAAAGGAGCTTTAACATGTCAAGTAGGAGTTACAAAAACGAAAGGGTGGTCTCAGAGATGGTGAACTGTGTCTCAGTATGTAATACATGACCTGCATGTTTTTAGCTTTCCTTTCACTTAGGTAACCAATATAAAATAGGATTTTACTGTTTCCAGAAAAATACCTCCTTTATTTTGACCATTTTGTATTTCTGTGTTCTTCACCTTTGCAGTATTTTTGGACTTCTAGACTCCAGATCCTCTCCTTGTATTGTTTCAAAACTTCTAAAAACCTTAAGTATGCAAGTCATTTTTGTTATTACGACTAACTCTGCAGCCAGGGACCTGCTTGAGTGATGAACTGACATGTCAAAAGTTATGACTCTAATACACTTAAGCATAGAAAAGACTCTGACTCAAATATGAATACGCTATACACTTCAGTCCCGGTCTTTGGTCTAACTGTGGGAGGACGAAACCCCCTTTTACAGAGGGCTGCTTCATGCTATATGGCAGTGAGATGACTAAGCATGAGGCCCGCTGCCTGTGGCACTGTGCAGACATGTTCCATTCTGTCAGCGCTCTGCGGCACATAGGCACCATTTCACACGGTCCCCTGACTCTTGGCCAAACGAGTGGGAACTTTAGAGGCTCTTTTGACAGCCAGTACCAAGTATTTATGCACTCTGACTGTAACTGCAACATATAACTGCTTTTTATTACGGTTCATGCAAATGCAGCAGCCTTCTGTAACCTAAATGCAAATATTTAGGGCTTGCATTTGCTGGTTTTGATGTACCAGAGTGAAAAAAAGTTAGTCTTTCCTAAATTCCTGTCAAGGTGTGCAGATTTCAAGAACATGCAGTGCAAAAATAAGAAAGATATAAGGAAGAGTCCCTTTTGTGTTTTTTGGCAGCCAAACATGGAAAAAAAAGAATCATTGTTCTTCACCGGTGACTCATATAGTAGAAAACAGAGTCAGGAAAATGAGCTCTGAGTCCAATAACAGGTATTTCCCTTAAACAGGGAATATCTCAGCTAAGCATTCGCAACAAACCAACCCCCCCCCCCCCCAGTATGATTGAGTGTTCAGTGTGTGTGTGGTCTCAGAGTGGAAAACCTATTACTGTTTTGAGTCTTTAATGCCACCTGCTGGTGTTAGACAGAAATGACTGCTCCTCTTATCAATTTAAATGAGCTGAAATAATATGAAACAACTTACTATTTGGGGTCAAATTTAGACATTATATCAAGAAAATTAGTGTTTTAGTCCCATGGTTGTATCCCATTCCCATGTTCCCCTTAAATCAAACCATATCCCACATTAATTCGTCTGCATCCACCGACTCAAGTGGAGAAATCATGTTATTGTCCTCCAGAGCCTGATCCTCTTCTGTACATTAACATGTACGCTGTAGGTCTGAAAAAATAAAAGCATTTAACATTTAGACAACAAAATACATAAACAAAATACACACATCTGTAAATGCTTTTCAGCTCTTGGTTTACCATTTCTTGCTTGTGTAGACAGGTTGCTATTTTGTTTTCATTCTGATGGCAATCAAAGCTAACTGCAGGCTTGTACTACCAGAATGTTAAGCATCGACCTTGTCAACTATCAGAGAATCCCATGACTGTCGTGCACAACTTGACCAAACAATCAGCAAACAACAGAACAGAAACGAAAATTAAGATGGACTGATTTACCTGTGACAGCCTCCATATGTAGTCTTGACTTCTTCCCAAGAGGTCTGCGCACAAATCAGACACTTTTGTATTCATTTTTTTTTCTCAAAATATGCATTTTTTTCTTTCCATAATCGGTATGGAGCGCAGACTTGAGAAAAATTATCTTGGAAATAAAATGCATTTAAGAAAGACAGATTTTGTTTGGACTTAAATACCTGTTGAACATGGCTGTCATTTGCATAGTACCAGCGCTGGTTCACTGTATGGTGAACATAAGCAGTGTAGTGACCGAACATTGCACTACTAGAGTGCACTACCACTGCATATAACGTGTACATGCAGTCATTCTGAAAAAAAACAAAATAAAATAAAAAACTTATGGATGACCCAAGATAAAATATGAAAATATTAGTTTCAAAATGCAATTACCTGAGTAAATTCTGAGGAGAATGCATCTTTCAGGATCACAGAGAGGTCAAGTGTTTCTGGAAATGTAACCTGGCTATCAACTTTTCGGGTGTAACTACCATTACTCCGAAATCTTTTCAGATGCACACGCAAGATAGCAGGCAGGGAGAGCAATTTGAAACCCTTTAAGAGAAAAAGATGTTTCACTATAAAAGGTACAAACTAGCGATGGAAGACTGTGTATAAAACCAGCCTCACCTGTTTGGATGGAGTTTTTACTCCACACTGTTTACAGTAGCAGCAGTTTCTACCCCTCAGCTCCTGGTGCTTGAAGTATGACGTCATGCATTCTTCCTGAAAAAGTACAAGTTGGTCATAAAATTAGGATACGGTCAAGTATACTTAGAGCCAAAGTTTGGGAAGATTTTTTTTCTTACTACGTACTGACAAGAGTTGGGAAACAAAATCGTGAACAGTTCCAACTTACTGTACTAAATGTGTAGCTGCAGCCTGTGAGCAAATGCTAATTTTACTAATCTTTTTACACCCATAACACCTTTAACTAAGCTTTGACGCATCCTCAGTGACACCCTTAGCTAAGCCATTTTTTACTACCTTAACTAGACATTCAACTAAGACTGTAAGCATCCTTTATAGCCCCCCCAGTTTTTTACGCTCTTAACTTAGCCTTTGAACACCTCCAATTAAACCCCTAACTAAGCCTTGGACATTCTTTTAATTACATCCTTTACTATCACATTATCACATATTTAACATCCTCAGTTACACCTTTAACAGAGCCTTTTTTACATCCTAAAGTAAGGCTACATTACTTACTACATTGATTTCAAACAATGCTTTCCAGTCCTTTGTTGTATTATTGCTGGGTGAGCCCACGTTCTTAGGGCTGGTGTCCACCAACATCCATTTTTCACTGGCAGTGTCAATTTTCTATGTAAAGCCAACACAGTTCAGGATTTTCAGTGTTTACATCACTTGCTGATTTACTTGCATGGGGTTTATGGGCACTTGCCCATAAACCCCATGGGCTTTGATGTTTGACCGCCCTCAGCTGAAAAAACTTAGATTTTTGTAACATCTCCACACTTATCAATGTCACCTCTTCATCCCCAACAATCAAAACCGATGAGGGGTTAGACCTCTGATATCAACCTTGTCAACAACAGTGGCAGAGATTTGAGGAACTAACCACACTTGTTTCTCTGGGGTACAATTTCCAGCTTTGGAGCTACTGCGAAACATTTTCAGTTTTTACATTTGCTTTGAAAATTTGCATTGAATTTATTAAAAATTGTAGCAAACAGCTAAATTTTTAAAACAACTAAAAGACATTACTGGGGAGCGCAGAAATTATGCACGGCTGCTTTCTGTAACCTTGCAACAGTAAGCAATGCAAAGTGCTCTGAAATGAAGGTCACAGAAAGTCCACAAAAAAAAGCTGTTGGTGGACACAGGCCCTTATTTTTACATTGGTGAAAAAAGCAATAAAGCTGTTCCTAACTGTTCCTAATATTCTTGTCATTTTTCTTAAAAAATCTGAGACAGAAGATATGGTACCAGAGAATTGTGATCTTCCTTTATGTGCAGTGGCAAGCTGAGCAGGAAGCTTCTGTGAGTCTGATCGGTGGTGCACTCCAGACACTGCAGGTGTGCCTCTACAGAAATCTTGTACAGAGTCTGAATTTCGAGCGCCTGACAGCGAAAAATAAAATAAAACAAAGCTAAGGAAATTGTAAATGAATGGCTTGCACATAGAAAAACAAACAATTTTAATATTTTGAAACCAACCAGAACTCTGTCGCCAATCTGCTGTTGCACCAAGTTCAGAAGAGCGAGAAATACCTCGTCTGCATCATGCTGCACATTGACTGCAAAACATTTGCACTGAGTTGAGAGATAAAAAACATCAGTAACACACATCTGACTTGCAAATTTGTTTGTCCTTACGTGGGATGGAGTGTCTGTCCAGACAGCGGAGAAGATCACGAGGGGAAACTGGCTGATGGGTGTTGCTCTTCAGTGCAGAAAGGACTCTCTTCAGCTGCAGAGGAACATTTCGCTCGTCATCTCGGTTAACAGATGATTCCCACCTTGTGTAATTCAAAATTATTAGTGTTCATTTTTCAGTGAAATTAAAAAGCACCTCTGGTCCTGGTTGTTACCCCTGTAGATTTTTATCTGTTTCAAAGGCTCTTAAATCTTTTTCACCACATACAAATGGCATGTCCATGCTTTAGAAGATTTTACAGATGGAAACAATTAATTTAGCATGAACTAATCTATAATGTTCAAAAAGTCAATATCATAATAAAGAAGCTGCTTAGTTTTCTTACTTGTCTAGCAGCTCTGTCAGTTCCCAGGTAGCACAGAGGGTCTGCAGTAAACTGTTCACACAGCAGGACAGACCGTAGTTCGTAAGGCCTCTCGTGGCTGTGAAACATCAACAGAAACATTAAAATATAAGACACCTGAACGCAAGATTGTTCCCAGATGTACCACCAAGGGCATAGGGGGCCTAGAACATGGTGGGCATGTCTTTGAAAAAGGAAGCTAAAAATCCAGATGCAAACTGTTTTATTAGAATCATCCATTTTGCAGAGCAGAACACCCATCATGTAGGGGAGACTGGGGTAAGTTGAGCCAAAGGGTAAGTTAAGCCACCCCCTGTTGCTTGGAAATGGTCAAAGAAATTGATCATGTGACCAAATATTTAGGGGATGGGCATCAATTCATGGAGTCTGTAAAGGTTAGAAGCGCATGGGTGAGACATTTATTTCCAAAAAAACATTTTAGCACTCTTGAAAGTGAATTTAGTCTGTCATTAGTTTTATTAGAATTGTGTTCAGACCAAAAAAGATCATTTTAGATTTGTTTTATTTAGGAGACCACTTTTTTTGGCATGCTATATTATCAAGACAGTTATGTTTACACTCATTCTGTTGGTTTGCAACAATACACAACATCTTGAAATATATGCAGATACTCTAGTTAGAGACAAAACTATGATTGCCTTGATGTAGTGATAGTGGTTTAGGGTTCTACATGGAGTAGATGTTTATTTAACACAGATCTGAGGTCAGTGCCTTGATTTTCCATGTCCCTGCTGCACATTTTGGGGGATTTATTGGTTGTGAAGAGAAAAATAATTGTATGAAATTAAGTTACAAGGTAATCAGTAGGAAAAGTAAGGAAGCACAATTAAGCACCAGGGTGAAGCAGACACTATAGGTCACACAAATATAAACCAACAGCATGTGGACTACTCACTTAAGTGGAGACTTCTAAAACTGAGCCTGGAGAGGAACCAGGAGTGACCTGAAGACATCACTGCAGGGTTTACTTCACAAAGGGTCAGTGAACCAGGATACTTGACAGCTGTCACAACCCAGGACCCCGAACTTCATAGATCCAAGTCCTGCGTGACAGACATTTGCAAATCGACTACCGGTTGACTGTAAGAGACAAGAAGTTAACTTTTTTGTTGTTATTCAACGCTACAATAAAAATAATGTCTTATAATAGAAAACAGCTCGTCTCACCTCGTCAACATCTCCCTTTCATCGCCAACTTCATGTTAACTTTCGTTTCACATATCCCCGGTTTGTAGCGTCACCTCGCCGTGAACCAATAATCTCGCTGCTCCTTCAACAGAATCGAAACCTAGAGTGAGGGATAATTGAGATAATAAGGTTAAAGAAAAATCTTGTTCACATTAACATGCTTGTTAACGCCTAAGCCTTAAGGTTTTTTGTTAGACTGAGAAAATAATAATTAAATTCAATTTCATTCAGTGTCGACCTGTTACCGTAGTCAAGCCAGTCGCTCATCTTGAATTTTAAGTGTGCATGTATTGGAATAATTACGGTAAAAACAGGCCCAACACCAGTTAAAATGAATGAAAAAAAACCAACAACAAATAAACTATGTAGGCTAATGTGCGCACGTTTCTAATATCTTAATCAACGTCAGGCTGTCACTATTTTTTTCTTTAGGTTTCATGTTTTTTTTTAAAGTTATAACAGTGTTCATTTCCTGTTGTGACAACTCTTTTACAATGTTTCCCCCCTCCAAATACAGCCGTGTGCAATCTTTCGTAATATATTTATATATTTTAATTGATAACACAGCTCAGAACTTGACATTCCCCCTTCTTTTCGATAAAAACAATTGTTGTATGGGTTAGCTTTGGTTTCTACAGTAGACAGTGAACAAACTGAGGTCACATCCGTAAACAAAAACGTCCCACGTGAAACCGAGCGGAGCGTACCAATACAACTTGTGACCGTGCAGTGTAAAATAGCGTATCTTATCAGCTTTACCGTGCGAAATGTTTGGCTAAAAAGATATCACCATACTCGTACAAAATCGCATTGTTATCACACACAACTCTGCTCATCTTAGTCTTGTTTCCGCTATTGTTTTGGTGGTTAAACACCCCTATGTTTGAAATGGTTTCGCCTGTTTGTCCTCCGTGCTAGCTGGGGTAACGAAGGACCTTTAAACAGAGAGACGAGCTGTACTCGGACCACGACGAATCCCCGTCCACAGCTGGGCTATTTTTGCTGTCAGTCGTCCTCTGCGGAGACGTGAATGAGGTAAGCGTCAAGTTTATTAAAATATCTTATTCTCGTGTAGTTGTGAATCATTCGGTTGGCTGTTATGTGGCAACTTTCGACGTTAATCTGAGTGTGGCTTTGTTGTGGAGCGGAAACTTTGGTTCAGTCGTCGAAGGTTCCAGATTAAGAGCGTGTAAAAACGACGTTTCTGTTACTTATATCCGGTTGTTGTTACCAGAGTCTTCCTCTAAATAGAAAGGGCATATAAATCTGCTTTTCTGTAATTTAACGGAGGATTTGGCATTTATCTGCAACTAAAACCCTCCAATATAAAAGTGTAATTCAGCTCCCCTGTGTATAGATTCATAAATAGTTTCTACTCGATACTTCTTACAGAGCGTTTGTTCTGTAACAAAGACTGACGTGTAAGTGTTGCAATCATAGCCTATGGCTGTAACAATGTAAACAGGACTGACAAGTTGCCAGTCTACAAGAAAGGGCAAATGCAATAACGGCGCCATGCATTTTGTATAACTGTTGCACTAATTATCTAATCACTGTCATGATGTAGGTTAAAACATATTATTGTAAATGTGCATAGTGTTCTTGTTTTGATCTGCTGCTAGGATCACGTGTACCCACTTCTCACGCGTGTGTGGATATTTTTTTATCCATGTGCATGGCACTCTAACCAAACATTTTCCATGTAGGGGTGAGAGACAGAGAGCTGCAGCCAATGAATGCAGCCCTCATGCAGTTAGCCCTGCCTCCTTATCTACTGCTTTGTTTACATTGTACTGCAGTGAAATCTGGATCCCAGAAGGCTGTCTTTGTCTCTATAACAGTATGTACCATACATCAGAGCCTTTGCTCAGGAAGACATGCCATTTCCTGTTTTGTCTTGGATTTTACCCTTATGACATTAGCCCAAAACACCTGGAGAAGCTGTGTGGATACTCAAGGTGTTGTAAGGCTATCAGCACATTGCATTACATGGAAGTATTTTGGTTAAAAATCACATTATAAAACATAAACATTTAATGTCATCAATACCATCAAACTTGTATAAAGAGGATTTCTCTTCATGAAGCAGCAGATGACAGTCGACCTAATCCGTAATCAGTTTTCTGGACTGTACCCCTGCCCCCATCCCTCAGGATAATCTCTGAAAATTGGCCTACTGGGTTGCCTGTGACCTAGCTGTCAAGTCGTGCAGATGATGTAATGAATAAGCTAGGACACAGCAGGGGTACATGGAAGTCACTCCCACCCCCCCTGTCACACACCCCCATCCTCACCCGTGGAGCTATCTTTAAACCAAAAGAGCAGCGAGGGAGTGTGCATTCATTTTTGGCAGCAGATAACTGGCTGCGGGGTCACCCTGCCAGCACTGCACTGTCTGTCTGATATCATGGTAGAATGAAAGTGTTTATGTAATATGTACATTTATGTGGCTTTATTTAGCCAAGAGTAGGATTGTCTTTACTCTTTGCACTGAAAGCACAAACAAAGGCCCAGTTTTTATTTATTTTCTTTCTTTAAGGTAATGTGTTTTTATTTGTTTGTTTGAGAGACAACACAGGTGTAACAGGAATCATTTGACCGTTGAGATGCCCCTCTGTTGTCTATTGTTGCCCTAGAGACACAGCTGATCAGCCTGGATAGTGTCTGTTTTATCCTCCAGAGAAACAAGCTTTTGTTTGAACTTAATTATGGAAATGGGCTCTTTTTCTCTCCCATCTTTGTCAACCCCTATGGCAGTAAGCAAACATGGGATCATCATGTGTTTTTTCCAATGAATTACTCCATGCACCATCACAGACTTTACCAAGTTTGTAATGTTGATACTCAGAACTATGCAATCAGGCCATGTCTTCAGTTTCCATGGATACTGGCCCCTTGAACTGTTTTATTGAGTATGACTGGTGTTTTTGTTACACTTTGTTGGCTGCCTCCATGGCAACAGCAACTGTTGCACAACGTGTTTCGTTCAACACCAGCTAAGGTAAAGTTAAGGTGACTTAGATAATTTGTTTTCTGGTATACTCTGATAAGGCTGTGTGCAGTTTTGTTCTTGTCAGCAAATTCTTAGAAAGATCTACAAAACTTGAGTCAACACTTCTAAACTTTGTAACCCTTTCTGTGACTCTCTTTTGTCCTCTAAATGAAAAATAGTGTGGTGATTTCTGGATGGTGTATTTTAAGGTCAGGGTTAGGGGGGTGTGTCCAGACTTTTTGACTGGGGTGGCTCAGCTGTAGCACTCATGACTCATGCAGGGTGGCATGATGCACGTATGCATCCAAACACAGATTATCAAGTCTTTACCCTTTGTGTATCTTGTGAATTATTTATCTACTCACCTTATATAAACTATATAAACATAGTCCATTTAACATTTGAGTGGCACAAGTAAAATGAGATTGTATTGCTGACTGCTTAAAGCTCCCGTGAAGAGTTTTTTTTTCTACATTTATTAGTTGTTTGAAGTTGATATTGATGCCTTTTAATAGAATATAAAAGCAGATAAAACTATCAGGACCAAAACTGAATTTTTTTACTGTAATTTTCAATGCCTGAAATTGCTGTAGAGGTCAGTGTCAGGGAAGCCACTTAAAAAAACAACCCCCTTTTTACATTTCCTCATTAAATACACACAAAATAACACATTTGATTGCTAGAAGTCAGTAAGATAAAAAATCTTGGTCAAAAGATGCTGCTTAAGAACATAGAGGAAAATATAGGCAAAGACAGGCTCTGCCCATAGGGGGCACCAAAATTGACTCAAACCTCACAGGGGCTTTTAGTTGCACTTGAGTTAAAACAGCGTTTCTTGGAGTATTTTTATCAGTGGGTAAAAGAGCAGGTGTTTTTCACTGAGATTTTGAAGCAGCAGAGTGATGCATCATCTGTCTTAATACTCAGTGCAACAGGCCAGCACACAAGTCTGTTTGTTTTGTGAAGTTTTTGTTGCACAGTGGAGGTCTATGGTGCTACAAACAGTTAAAAGATACCAGAAAAACACAGGCATAACTTGCCATGAGCATCAGTTCATGCTTGGGGTGGGGGATTTCTTGCCAGACATTGTAAAACAGATGTTAAAGTCATTCATAAGTCCAGGTTTCTTGACAACAGTCTCCAAACAAGTTGGAGATAATAAACCTCTTTTCCAGCTTTCTGTTAAAGTGGAAAAAAGAATCATGATTATGAGTTTGACAAAGTTTGAACTTGTCAACAATATTAGTGTGTAAACCAACTTTTTCTGTGCAGCCGTGACCCAAGATGCCTCTAAAAGATGAGGGGCCTTCCTCCATGTCCAGCGGTGAGGAGCAGGGCAGTGATGTGGAGTCTTCGTCGGAGCGCTGTGACAGCATGACATCTGCCAGCGACCTGGACTGTTCACGCGAAAGCTTCACCAGCGACTGTTCCAGCAAACACTGCTCTCCTTCCTGTAAGTTTGCTCACTGCCTCACAGTCTCATTCTTTGATTGTTTTTCTTTGTAGACGGATCAACTTCTGTGTTGTTTCAGACTCAACTTTTTGATATCAATAATATTGTTTTGTTCCTAATGCGACTTGAAGAGCCTTTATTCTTTTTTAAATTCTTTTTGAATGTCATTCCTAGATTACCCGTCCTCAGCAATGTCACCGTAAGTGTTTAACAGCCAATTTATAAAACACATCTAATCTTTTCCTCTCACAGCAAGTCCCCCTAAAACCTTAACCCTGGATGAAGTCATGGATTCTGCCAAAGACCTGTCAAATCTCAGCCTTGCCCATGAGATTACTGTGAACCCTAACTTCCGCCTGGAGATGAACAACCTACCTCAGGACAGGTGGAGTATGAAAAACATGCAATGTCATTAAACCAATAAGTATTTTCTTTGGAGATTTTTGTAGTCCTAAAATGATGCAAGTTTTCAGATACGGTGAACTTTTCTAAGAGCAGAAGAATGAAGCTAAAGCCCATATTTTTAATAATATTTTTTCTAAATTTCTTTTTTAGTTTGTGGAAGTTGGTGCGAGATAATGTCCACAAGGCTTTCTGGGACATTCTTGAGTCAGAACTAAATGATGACCCACCTGAGTACGGGCAAGCTATTAGATTATTGGAGGAGATCAGAGAGGTAACCTAACAGCATCTGCTAAGTAAATGCATTCCCAATTAATTAAACTATAAACAACTATTCAGTATAAAATGGCAAATTATTTTTTCACCCGTACAGATCTTACTGTCATTCCTTATTCCTGGGAGCAACCGGATGAGGACCCAGATCATGGAAGTGCTGGACATGGACCTGATTCGTCAGCAGGCTGACAACGACGCTGTAGATATCCAAGGACTTGCCTCTTTTATCATCACTACGATGGGAAAGTTCTGTGCACCAGTCAGGGATGAGGAAATCCGCAAGCTCCGTGAAAGCACAGATAACATGGTGACACTGTTCAGGTACATGCACAGCTACCATGGCCTTGTTTGAGCTTTTTTGACTCTCTCTTATGGGCTCTCTTATTTTTCTATTGTACAAGAAGCATTTTCTTAACATTATTTCTTACACACTAGGGAGATCTTCCGTGTGCTGGACCTGATGAAGGCGGACATGGTCAACCTGACAATCAACAACCTGAGGACTGTCCTGCACAGGAATGGTGTTGAATATGAAAGGGCAACTTTTCAGAGCATAGTGGACAAAACACCAAGTGAGTGGAAGAAAAACTGCACAAGATACTAATTCACATCCACATTACACATTATACCTTAATTTCACCTCACTCTGCTGGAGCCTGTTTTTCCTCTCAGGCTGGAGAACTGGGAACTTATTAGTTAGAAATCTGAATTATTAACTTTATAAAACCCTGGACAGACCATTAGCTACCGCTGCTGGAACCAAAGCTTTTAGAGCTCCCCCTAGTGGCTGACTACAGTATAGGTGTAAAAGCCTGTCCGTAAATTATAACAGATGGCACACAGGGCAAGAATGAAAAATCAACACACACCAACACATTGTTTCTTAAAGTTGTCTTTGTCAGTGTAGATAGTTCTTTTCATGCTGATTTATATGTAAGTGGTCTTATTTTGATTTTTTATTTGATAAAAAAAAAAAAAAAAGAGGTGATTGACAAAAGAAACTCCTGCCACATTGTGCGCCTATTTATCAGAATAGAAGAGAGATTACTTGAAAAGCAGCATGGAAAAACTGGTTAAATGAATGTGTGGATCAGGGGCCGGCCAACAAATGATACTAATCTGTAAAAAACAATTTATCCAGCCAATTGGGATTATTACTAGCATGGTTTCCAAATTGTGATTGGGCAGGTAGCCCACAGGCCTGCAGATTTACTGGAAGCTCAACTTCTGTGGACGTCATTTTTAAAGCCTGGCCCTAACGCTCTGATGCAGACCACAGACACATCCGCTTGCTGAGTTAATCCAATCATTACAGGCTGCCTTTGCTGAGTCAGGATTTGAGGGCTGCAGGTTGCAAACAGACAACACTAGATTATAAAAAATTCCTCGTGAGGACAAAGTAATACCTCTCATCTCTTGTTTTGTATGAATGCAAGTAGACTTCCCAAACAAACCTCATCCTGTAGTCTTGTAAAAGTGAAATGTATCACTCAGTGGAGTTTCTCATTGGAAACATGAGCAAAAGCCTGTTTCTCTAGGCTGCTGTCATTCATTTGGTCTGACATCTACCCTTCACGGCTTCAAATTGGTGCCTTTTTAAAGATGTAGAAAAGCAAACAAGACCATTAGTGACAAAACTTGCTGTTTTTATATTCTGACTTTTAATGCCTGAACTAGTACAAAAGGGTAGGTGCTAGCTGATAAGCTGAAGAAATAGCCCTTTTAAAAAATATTTTTTACATACAAATATTCACAATAAATGATATGTTTGACTGTCAAGATAGGCAAAGACTGCTTTTGTCCACAGGGGGCACAAAGATTGACATTAATTGAAAGTTCCTCACAGGAGCGTTAAAAATATACCAGAACATAAATAGGTCCACTGAAATAAATATCCAGGGGGGAGAACCCCAGACCACCCTCAATATCTTTTACATGACCTCCTATGAAGTGAGCCAGAACTGGTTTATATGGATCTATATCTACTTGGGGTTTTCAGTCAGAGAAATCACTCATTTCAGGTCCGATATTTGGTCACTGATGTGTTTTTAGACACCTTTTTTTAAAAGTATTTACTTCCTCAGGTGCTTTGGAGCACACCACCTCCTGGATCAAGTCGGCACTAGAGGAGCTGCAGTCGGTCGCTGTTTCCAAAGAACAAAGCAAAGGACAGCGACTGGTGCCAGGGCCCTTTCAGGTCATCAACACAGCCTTCCTCAGCCTACTCATGTGGGACTGCAGTCAGAGGCCTCTGCCTGAGGTAAGGGTGTTTTCAAACACGACTGAGAAAAATCTGATCATATGATTGTACATTTTTAGTCCTTCTCTGTGAGATATTTATTCAGATGTTTCTGTATAGACGTTGATGACTGATGAGGCACGTCTGAGAGAGATTCAGTGGCAGCTGCAGCGAGCTCAAGCGGTAAATGAGGTGCTGCTAATCGTCTACAGCACCATCGGAGGGCCCATCCAGGGTCTGTCTTCCCTGTCCGACCGTCTGAAGAGGATGACAAGTGTGCTGCTGGAGGGGATGCACAGCCCGTCAGTTCATTTCCTCTTTCAATCTCTAGTTTACAGCCTGTAATCAAACCATCAATTAGGTCATTAACCACCTTCTTCACATGAAATAGAAGCTTAACAACTCTTCCCCCTGTCTGTCTATAGAAGCTTCAATCTTGGGGAGGCACTAGAGGGCGTCAGTGCGCAGATCTGCTGTGAGCTCAACAAGTCTTTAACAGAGAGGGGCTACCCTGCGCTTAGCCCAGCACTGCAAGACGCACTTAAAGGCCAAATCTGCAGCATCACCCAGAGGGACAACCCCATCCGCACTCTTGTGGGTGAGTGAGAAAGACCAGAAAAAGCCCTCCATTTCATATGGAATTACAAACCTCAGTGGCAGAGAACATAAGCCCGACCAAAGTAACCCCTTGAAGTTTTCATCAAATCTGTCCAACACAACATGAACTGAATAAATCATACAGAGAAGAAAACTGATTAAGTGGTCTAACCCAGTTTCAGAGTCATTTCTGTCTCTGAACATTTGGCACAATCCCACAACTGTAATCTAATCAGAATTCATTCAAAAACTGCACCCTGTTTCTCACCTGTTATTTGTTTCTCCTTACAGAGGATCGTGTGCAGCAATACTTCGCGGCGCTCATTTTCGCCCCCAAACCTGAGGTCAAACTTGAACAGGTACCAGCCGGCCTGACTGCAATCAAACCTGAACTGGCGTTGATCGGAGCGAAATTCAACTCCCTTGTTGACTACAACAAAATGGTCTATGGACCTTTCTACGCTGATATCATCAGGAAGTTGTTGTTCAGCAACAGCCCACCAGCAGCAAGCGCTCCTCTGGACCCCCCTCAAGACTCTGTCACCTCCAAATAAAAACAAATGTCGGCTCATGAAGCTTGAAGAGTCTCTTTGCTGGTAGTCTTAGCCAAAGCTAGGAGGAACAAGAGAGCTAGTCAGTGCTACTGCTTTACTAAGCCAGCGTGCTCCAACAGTCGGGGTCACTTTTAATGTGTTACTAATGTAGTTTTTATCACTACATTTAGCAGTGAAGGCACTGCTGTTAAGACACCATGAGGGTATAATGTGACCTACTTACTTTGTTAGAGTTGCTTTTAAAGACATTGAACATTTATACATTTATTGCTACAAAATAGGAAAACCAGTGTTATCAAGTTTATATTTCTGGACCTATAAGTGACTCCTGAGTTTTTAATCAACCACCAGCCACAATCCTGTTATTGTGGAAAGAGAAAGGGCAACATTTAATGTGTCTAAAACATCTGGAAAGCTTTATAAAGCAAAGAGGAAGAAGAAATTATGTTCAAAGAAGTAGCAGAGTAGCGTAACTGATCTTTACATTTATTATGTTATTTATCTAAGGTAGCTTTATAGCAAAACTTTAAGTTAAATATGACCACCGTTAAGCACATTTATGCAAACCATGAGATCGCCTTTTTCCATGGTGTGAGCTCTTCTAATTGTTCTCCCTTTAACTTTTTTAATCAGCAGAACTAAACCTTGTGTTTTGTTTTTATGTAACTAGAGCAGAAAAAAAAGAAAAGTCAAGTAAAAAAATTTTTTTTGACTTTTTTAAAGGAAGAAGTGACTGTTGTCTGCATGAGTAGCTTTGTGTAGGTGTTAAAGTTTTTCTTGTTTTGACTTGATTTGTTTAAGTATATGTCACATGATACGTGTTCCATACTTTTACTTAGTTGCTGCCAGTGAACTACTCGTTATTTCGATTGAGTTGTTATGTTTGTTACATTTTTAGGGTACTGCAGTTGTTACAGTAACGCTGTATTGGCTGTACGGACCTGTGGGGAAAAGAAAAGGTGCTGAACTTAAAAGATGTTTTGACACATTTCCAAATGACTGATTAATGTGGAGGGAAAAAAAGCAGATGTGTACTTATACAGACGTTTACATAAAGATGTGGGGAGTTATTGTTCTTCTTTTCTGTACTGCAGTTAATATAAAAAAAGATTAAAAAAGAGAATTTAACATGTCATAATGTGTATGAAGATTATTTTTTCTACCACTATTAGGTGTAATTCGTGCATTATATAAAACACAATGTACAGTTAAAACCAGAAGCTTACATCCACTATATAAAAAGACACATAACCTTTTTTTCCTCACTATCTAACATCAAATCAGATTATACTTTTCCTGTTTTCGGTCAATCAGGATTACCAAAATTATTTTTATTTGCTGAATGCCAAAATAATGAGTGAGAGAATTTTTTAGACAATTTTTTATTTTCTCGAGAGTCAAAAGTTAACATACATTTCATTATTATTTGGTAGCTGCCTTTTAATAGTATGACTTGGGTCAAATGCTTTAGATACGCTTCCACAGGCTTTTTACAATAGTTTGTAGAAATTTTGGCCCATTTCTCCTGACAGAACTGGTGTAACCGAACAAAGTTTGTAGGCCGCCTTGCTTGCACATAACTTCTCAGTTCTGCCCTTAAATTTTCAATAGGATTGAGATCAGGGCTTTGTGATGGCCACTTCAAAACATTGACTTTGTTATCCTTACGCCACTTTGTAACCAGTTTGGCAGTATGCTAAGGATCACTATCCATTTGGACCACCCATTTGCGCTCAAGCTTTAACTTCCTGGCTGATATCTTGAGATGTTGCTTCAGTATTTCCACATAATGTTCTTTCCTCATGATGCCATCTATTTTGCGAAGTATACCAGTCCATCCTGCTGCAAAACAACCCCACAACCTGATGCTGCCACCCCCATATTTCACAGTTCGGATGGTGTTCTCAGGCTTGCAAGCTTCCCCTTTTTCCCTCCAAATGTAACAATGGTCATTATGGCAAAAAAGTTCCATTTCCATTTCATCAGACCACAGGACATGTTCTCAAAAATTAAGGTCTTTGTCCCTGTGTGCATTTGCAAACTGTAATCTGGCTTTTGTATGTATCTCTTGGAGTAGTGGCCTTTCATCCCATGTCGGTACAGGACTTGTTTCACTGTTGATAATGACACACTCTAACCAGCTTCAGCCAGCATCTTCACGAGGGCTTTTGCTGTTGTTCTTGGATTGATATTAACATTTCGGACCAAAGCACGTTCATCTCTGGGACACAGAACCCGTCTCCTCCCTGAGCGGTATGATGTCTGGAGATTTCCATGGTGTTTATACTTGTGTACAATTGTTTGAACAGATGAAAGTGGCGCCTTGACGCATCTGGACATTGCACCCAAGGATGAACCAGGCTTGCGTAGGTCCACAATTCTTTTCCTGATAATATCTTGGCAGATTTCGTTTGATTTTTCCCATGATGTTACTCAAAGAAGCAGTGTGTTTCAGGTGTGCCCTAAAATACATCCACAGGTGTGCCTCTAATTAACTCAAATGTTGTCAAAAAAAACTATCAGAGGCTTTCAAAGACAGGATATCATCATCTGGACTTTCACAAATTGTTTAAAGGCACAGTCATCTTAGGGTATGTAAACTTTTGACTCTTGAGAAAATAATAAAAAAAAAATGTCTAAAAAATTCTCTCTCTCATTATTCTGGCATTTAGCAAATAAAAATTATTTTGGTAATCCTAATTGACCAAAAACAGGAAAAGTTTAATCTGATTTAAAGTTAGACGGTGAGAAAAAAAAAGGTTATGTGCCTTTTTATATTGTATATGTAAAATCTAGTTTCAACTGTATATAATAAAACATAACATAAAACGGCAGTTATATTTTGATAAATATTTACCATTAAATCATACAAAAATATAAAAGCACAAGATTTTTTTTCCATTTGGATAATAAAAAGTTAAAAATATCTTATTTGTAATAGACAGTAGGCCTTACGTCTTTGACGACACTACTGTAGATATGAGGTACGTTGTCAGCTCAATGTATTTTTTTGTGTTTAATTGTAAAAAATAGAGTAATCTTGGTCTATCTGATAAATCATATTTCATTCATTTCGCTCTCTCTATATCTATAAAGATACAGTACATAGTGTACACATTTTGACCCACATGCTACAATAATATTAGTTTTAAATCAGATCCTTTGCAGGTTTGCAGATTTGCAGGTCCCTTTACACCTATGTGTTAAATCTATTGATGACAACACGACACATAATAGTATTATCGGTGTTATCACACTGTATGGTGTCCTGAGAAACAAACAACATGTACTTATCTCTTACTGTCACCGAGGAGCAGTGTTACCTTTAAACACAATCTGGTAATCTTACAATCAAGGCTTGTAAACACCGATGAAAAGATGAGGACGACTAATTATAAACAATTTGAATTCAAATAACCGTGATGCAGTAGAGTTATATTACAAATTCAGATCAACATGGCAAGATTTAAAATAATTTGGTAAATCTAATTAAAAATCGACTACCCTCAATCTTGTCAGTATCATGTATTTCAAGTCTTTAAATACCGATAGTAATTTTTCAGATTGAGTTCCGGTGCTCAGAAGCTTTTCTATTAATTTCTTAGTTCATTTTTTTTTCATTTTCCAAAAAATATTTTGCTGTTTTTTTTTCCCCAATGAATGAGTTTTATTATTTCCGGGTAGAGAGCTGCTACGTGAACGCAGCATCAGTTTGCCCAGCTACACATTCGCTGGAAGCATGACTTCACTGGTCACGTGGTTAAAATCTTCAGACGCTATTGGCTGCTTCACACCGGGGTGCTTGTTTTTGTTGTGAAGCAGGAAGCTGTGTTTCAAAATTGGGCGTGTGGAGCAGCGTTAACAGAGTAATAAATGTACCTTTTATTCATTCGACGCTTCAGAGCACGACCTAACCTACAGACCTGATACTCCTCTACAAATACCCTCTTTCTCATAGGAAAAACCACACTCGTAAGTATCTACTGGTGATAGTTTTCTTTGTTTCATTCTCTTGCAGCAGGTCAGAGGGAAACTTGTCGAGACAAGTATTGAAATAAAGAAAAGTGTGTCAGACAACCTGAAGAGAGAGATCAGGTTAGAGGGTAGTTTCTAACTGAGTTAAATTTAGCTTTGACTAACAGTATTTTCATTCACTTTCACATTCAGTGACAGACTATAGCTCCAAAGAAGTGCTCACAACATTAAGTTGCTGTTTTTCTGAAGAAATTGAACGACCTCAGTGAAATTAACCAGGTTAGTCAACTATAAATGAATATTGAAGATTTTTCTGATGTACACTATGTAAAAAAAGTAGCATTCACTATATGAATTATCACTGTTTTGTTGTGTTGTTTTACTTCTAAAAGGTGACCATGAACAGCTGTTGATCTCTTTTGTTTTCACTTGTAGAGATTTTCAAGTTCCTTATTTCTGTAATAATGAAACCAAGCTACAGGTTCACTGATTCGCTGAATTAACAAGATATATTTCTCGGAATTAAAAGATGTATTTTTACTTTGTAAAATCTGTCCTGTATTTGTGATTAATTCATTATCAGGCGAACAAAAATATGAACGAAGACATCTCTAATTTTGTAAATCAATATATAATTTATCTCATCTATTTACCACAATTATATAATAAGGTCATTTTTGTTACTAAAAAATCACCCTGTTTTTCTGAGTCAATGAGATAATTATCTCAGAGTTAGGTTGAAAAAAAAATCTGAATAAAAAAGGTCTCTACTTATCAAAATTTATGAGTATCTATCTTGTTCATTAGAAAAACAGAGAAGCTTTTTTTTTCCTGTAAGTGAATGTAAAACACTTCTGCGGTAATTTCATGGAATTAAAATAATCTTAAATTAGAGAAATAATTGCAAACTAAAGGTAAATCGAGAAAAAAAATCGGTCTTTCAGGAGCTATTAAAATTGTAAGATATTAAAAAAGGAATTTAAAAGTGTAATTTTTTAATATTGGTTTTAGTGCCCCCCATGGACAACCCAATACTTACTATCCCCTGACTTTTAGCAGTAAACTATTTCTCAAATTACTGATTACTAAATCTAAAAATCTAAATGTTAAAAAGATGATTAACCTTAATGTTGATGGACTTGTTTGCTTTTGTGGCTCATATGGAGGCAATGGTATACATTTCAGTCTACCCATGTGCAGGTTAAAAAATGCTTATAGGAGCTTTAATAAGGATCAACATAAGGAGAGAGGACTTAAAGGAAATCATAGACAAGAATGGACAGAGTCTGCCTCCTCTCTGGGTGAAGCCACTCTGAGAACAGCACCCTCTGTTGATGGGCTGCAGTATAGGTCATAAATCCCGCCTCCGCCAGCAAAGCTTATGGTGCTGTGGACAAACTTAAAGCGTCATCACAGTGACTCTCGGCGACTGCGCGGCCGAATGTGTGCATTGCTACTGCGCAGCGCTGGTTTTAGGAAATGAAGAAATATCCCGGAAATACCGAGAGCTTTTTGGCTTCAAATCCGTATACAGGCGGAAGGCGGAACCAAGTTGTCCATAGTATATACAGTCTATAAAGGAAATATACAGTTTTGAACTCTGGATGTTATTCTTTCATGATCATGTCCTCCAGTTCCTCTTCGACCTGGGCTCCTTAGATAAGGGAACTGAACAAGCAGAACTGTGCAGGAACATTACAGACAAGACAAAAGTTTTGGCATTTATCATATGACATTTACATGAATCAAACTTCCCTGTATTTTGTCCTTTTATTTGCAGTGTAGGTAGCAGCTGCACGGTCAACGTGTCATGCAAAGATGGCTTTGGAGGAAAGGGCGAGGAGCTGTTTGCTGCGCCATCGCCACAGGCTGGAGCAGGACATCAAGGCCCCTTACCTGATGGACCACATGATCAGTGATGATGTGCTGACTATGGAGGAGGAGGAGAGGATCCTGGTTAAGGTAAGCATGTGCTGAAATGGTAGAATAAGGAGGAAAATCATAGATAATTTCATATGAAAATCTTCAAATAAGCAGCTTTGGAACAGATATTATCAACTCCAAATCTAATATCTAATCCTTCTTTTTCCCTGAAGCCTAACAGGAAGGATCAGGCTGCTGCCTTACTGGAGCTACTGCTGAGAAAGGACAACCGTGCCTACATCTCCTTCTATAACGCGCTGGTCAAAGAAGCCTATGATGATCTGGCCAATCTTCTTCATGGAGACCTCCCGCAAACATCATGCAATCAACAACTCAACGGCTCCACTGATTGCTTCTCATCTTATGGTGAGAAGTGGAAGCTGAGTTTAAGCATTAAATGTAGTTGGTAAGTTTTGGATGACATGTTGGAGTTTGACGATAATTTGATCTGTGTTGATCTCTCCGTTTTGTCAAACAGTGCAGACAGTTCTCAGTGAGGGTGGCGTCCCCCAGAGGCCTGTGGTGTTTGTCAGCAGACCAGAGCTTGTGAACCGAGTCAGGGAGAAACTCTACCGGCTGCAGAAAGAAGCCGGCTGGGTCACTATCTTTGGCATGGCTGGTTCAGGCAAATCTGTCCTGGCTGCTGAGGCCGTCAGACACCACGGACTCATTGAAGGTGAATCATCTTTGACTGATTGACCCTACTCAGTGCAGAATCATCACTTTACCTTCTCCTGTTCCTCGTCTCTCATCTTCTTGCAGAATGCTTCCCAGGAGGGATCCACTGGCTGTCCATTGGTAAGCTGGACAAACCTGATCTGCTGGGGAAGATCCAGTCCTTATGTTTCCGTCTGGAGCAGAGCCTGGATTCTCAGTCTCTCCACCGGCCCCCTAACTCTCTGGATGAAGCCAAGGAGCGCCTGCGCTTTCTTGTGTTGCGCAAATATCCCAGGTAAGTTCATGTTGACATACATGCAACCTGTCGTGTGCTTTTTGGAAGTTGTTCAAATACTGTTGTTTGTTTGCAAAACCGCAATGTAGGACACATGGGCTTGTTGTTTCTAGTTGGATAAATACATCACACATAACTATTAAGAGAAATGTAAGCAATTAAAGCTTCTTGATTAAATTACTTTCTTCATAGTTTGAGTGGAATAAAAAGATAAATTCAAACAGAAAAAAGGATAATTGAAGTAAGGAGGTGGGTAAAACTTGAAAAAGGGAGATCTGTTAAAGTATCATGGAGAGGAGAAGGGTCTGAATCTTGTCTATTAACAGGGGTCTAAAAAATTTTAAAATGTTGACGACACAGACATAACGAAACACGGTGATATCATTATATTACCAAATGTCATCAATAACTAATCGACTGATATTAAAAGCTTCTCTGTGTATACACCACAAAAAAAGATGGATCTTTAACAGAATCCTGCCTACCCCACCTTAAAGAGTTTAAAAGACTTGTGTGTCTTCTGCCATAACTCTAACCATTGGAGTTACTGCTTGTATTGTTGCCTCACCTGCTTGAATTGGGATGATGCACTTGATCACTTCCTTAGTTTTTTAAAGTGTGTGAAAAAATAACCTTGGTTTTCTTACAAACTCAAACAGATGGAAACACTCTCTGTAATCGTGTTTTTCATTCACATTTTGTTATAATTTTTAACCACCTTTGTCACTTAATTGTTTTTCCCACCAAGTTTGAACCACCTTTATGTGTAACTTCAGTAAGCTCATGTTATTTGTGGTTTATTATCGCCAGTTACCCTCTGAACATTCACCAGGATCTGATTAAACTCTCTTCATAGCTAAACCCTTTTTATTTACATGTGCTGCTGGGAGAGACTAACTAATGAGGGTTGACCTGTGTGTTGTAAATGAGTCGTCGATTCAGAAAAAAAGTTAAAGTTTAGGAAAAAAAACCCTTTTTAAGTAACTTTGACTTTAAAGATTTTAAGAAACAGTTTCAAAAACCAAATCAAGTCAATAAGAAAAAGACAAAGAAACCACGCAGAGACAAGCGGCTCAGCTCTACAGAACTGTATTAATGCTTTCAGTTATTTACAGTTATTTACAGTTTTGATATTTACAAAGAGGTGAAAGGATAAGGGAAGGGAAGGTGGGTAAGGGTTGAAGGGGTAAGGGTTGGAAGATGGAAGGAAGGAGGAGGTTAAGGTGAGGAGGGAAGTTGGGGGGGAGATAGGAAGTGGGGTTAGGAAGGAGGTTAGGGGGGAAGTTAGGAGGGGAGATAGGAAGTGGGGTTAGGAAGGAGGTTGGGGGGAAGTTAGGAGGGGAGATAGAAGGTGGGGTTAGGAAGGAGGTTAGGGGGGAAAGTTAGGAGGGGAGATAGGAAGTGGGGTTAGGAAGGAAGTTGGGGGGGAGTTAGGAGGGGAGATAGGAAGTAGGGTTAGGAAGGAGGTTAGGGGGGAAGTTAGGAGGGGAGATAGGAAGTATGGTTAGGAAGGAGGTTAGGGGGGAAGTTGAGAAGGGAGTTAGGAAAGGGGTTTCAGAGGGAGGTTGAGGTTAGGCAGGGGATTAGGAAGGTGGGTAGAGGGGTTTGTTGACGGCTTTTTCATTCACCGTTGTCCTCTTTTCTTCTTCCTCTTTTTCATCTTCTTGTGCTCGCTATCCTCCTTCTGTATCTTCTCCTCATCTGATTGTTTTTCAGTCTCGTTCCCCTTGTCTTTATCAGCTATCTTCTCTTCATCTTCTTTTTTTATTTCCTCATTTTTCTCCTCCTCCTCCTGTTGTTGTCTATTTTCCTCCTGGAGGAGTTGAGAAAGAATCTGTGTGTTAGTTGATTCAGCAGAAACCTGAAAATATTCTCTAGAGAATCAAAGAACTGATTATTTTGATGATCTGTAATATATCTGAGCTCTGAAGTACCTGCAGGTTGACGGTCTGGTCTTGGAGACACTTCTGCAGATCATTGCATTTTTTAGTCCAGCTCTCCTCGTTCCTCCGAAGCTCCAGGTCCTTTTTATTGAGAAGGTCCAGGGTGTTAATGTAAGCTCTGGTGCGCTTACGTCTCTTTTTAATTGCTCTCCACTGGACCTCTCCCATAACCTTGAGGTTTTCTTGAAGCCTGTAGACTTCGGAGGTTTCGTTGGCCAGCTGGTCTTTGTAGGCCTTGGATGAATTCAGCTGTTCTTCAGCTGCCTTCTGGACCAGCTCATCTTTAAGCCCCAGCTCTTCTTTGGCCTTGCCCAACTCTGACTCTTTTTGTGCCAGCAGGTCGATCGTGTCTTTGTGGGCCTGTTTTGTAGCCTGCTCTGTTATCTGGGCCCTTCTCAGCAGGTCGTCCTTCTTGTTCAGCTCCTCTTGGAGTTTTCGAACCTCCGTTTCTTTTGCAGCAAGTTGCTTGACGTGGGCCTCGAGCATATACTTCTCCTTTTTATCAGCAGATTCCAGGAGGTTGGTCTTGGATTTTAGCTGCTTTTGTAGGTCAGCTAATTTGGCCTCTCTTTGGGCTAGCAGGTCCAAGGTGTTCACGTTCTCCTTTTCTCTGTCCTGCTCCTTTTGCCTCATTTTAATGAGGAGGTCATCTTTTATTGCAAGCTCCTCTTGCAGCTTTAGCAGCTCTTTTGCGCTCTGGGTGAGGAGGTCCAGGGTGTTCTTGTGAACTCAGTTTATGTCCTCCTGTTGTTTTGACATTTCAGCCTGTTTTCTTTCTTGTTGGCTGGTGGACTCTTTCAACACTTTGTTTTGCTCCTTTAGAGTCTTGAGCTCTGCGATGGTGGAGCAGAGAGTTTCTCGAAGACTCTGGGCAACTTGGGCGTCACTGAGCTGGTGATGCGGTTTCTGCAGCTGAACATTAGTTGGAGCGTTCAGGGTGTTCACAGCTGCTACATATGTGACTGGCACACAGGGCTGAGAGAGAGAAAATGACATGAGGTTCATTAAAAAAATTACAAAACTTTGTCAACATGGAAACATGACAACAAAAGTAATTTACTGAAAGTTTAATGAGAAAGTCTTACCAGGTATCCTGCAGGAAATCTCAGACCAACTTGAAGCGACCTAGTCGACACATCCTATGTATTATTCAAAGCCGCCAGGTGGGTCACGCTTAAGGAGGAATATATGAATGTAGAAAAAATTACAAGGAGAGCTCTGCTAAAATGTAAGATTTTGGTGCTGAAAAACTTCTCTGAAGCCTTTGCTAATTAATAGGATGGCCGACCGTCCAGCATTAGCCGGGACGCTGTGTTTGAGCCAAAAGAGGCGCGTCGCCGCACGGGTAAATGCTAAAGCTACATGCTGCTCCTGAGGGGCATTTTGTCCCCCGCCGGCGGAGTTCTCGGGGAAGAAGCGAGCAGCTAAAATATGGGAGGATCAGGTGTTGTGCCGTAGAATGAACCCCCTGCATCCCATCCACTCGCTAGCTTCTTAAACTGGAAGAAAATGATCTCATATTTTAAAAAACACGACTATTTGATCGTTACAACTTTCGTTCTGATTTTATGTGTCTCAAAAATGCACATACGGAGGTGTGCTTGGGTATATAAACTGTACAGTAAACTGTCAAGCTAGCGAACATTATATTTTCGGGACAGCAAATATTCTGAATCAGAGGGCTATTTTTTCGGCTTATCTGAATAGCCTGAGTGAAATTATTAAAGGCACACGCTTTTGGGTTCATCCAATGGTAAGGAAAACTTGGATTATTTTCGCCTTGTTAAGTACTTTCGACCGCGCTCCCGTCGGGGGTGCATTCTACGGCACAACACCTGAGGCACCGGGGGGAGTTCAGGCTAAACAGTAAGTCAAAATAAAACGTTCATTCTTACAGATGAGTTTTGTGATCGTTTGTGCAGCCAACAACAGAGCAAACGCTGCCTCTTTTTCAGATCGTACTTTCGCCGTGGTTCTAACCGGAGCAATGCGAACGAGCGGCCGGGAATAATGGCGCTGTTTTGATAATTTTTTGGGCAGGGCAGTACCATCAACCTGCCAGCACTGACGTGACGTTATGTCAGTGGAGTTTTCAGAACGGCTCTGAGCACACAGTTCCTAAACATGGAGACAACTAAAAAACGACTGGATGGAATTTTTACGAACTTGGGGGGATTGTAGCGGTTTTTTATCCCTGATATGCCCCCCCTTAACAAAGTCGTTTTTTCATTCCATGGCCCCTTTAAATCTACATGCAGTTATATCACTGTTAAATAATGACAGAGTGTTGATCTACAGCTTCTCTGTGTTTGGGCTCTCACTGAGTGGGTGAGGCCCTCAGGTTGTTGCAGACAGAAACGTACAGAGCTGCTAAAGGAGCCGTTAGTCCGTCACCCAGCAGGACTGTCAGCTTCTCCTCAGGTGGTAAAGTTGAAAAATTTGGGTTAGTGGGTTATTGATATTTACCTTTGGCATTAAAACACCACCTTTGTCACTTAATTGTTTTTCCCACCAAGTTTGAACCACCTTTTTGTGTTACTTCAGTAAGCTCATGTTATTTGTGGTTTATTATTGCCAGTTACCCTCTGAACATTCACCAGGATCTTATTAAACTCTCTTCATAGCTAAAACCTTTTTATTTAGAGACTAACTAATGAGGCTTGACCTGTGTGTTGTAAATGAGTCGTCCATTCAGAAAAAAAAGTGAAAAAGTGATAGATTAATTGTCTAAAGCTGTGAACTTTTTCAATAACTCAGACTTTAAAGATTTTAAGACCTAAGTGTTACCAGATCTGTAAGAAACAGTTTAAAAACCATCACATCAATCAACAAATGTAATTGCACTTAAAGGTGGGGTAGGCAGGAATCCGTTCAAGAAGCATCTTTTTTTGTGGTGTATATACAAAAAAGCTTTTAATATCAGTCAATAGCTATTAGTCATTGATGACATTTGGTAATATAACTGTGTTGTCTTAACTTGAAAAAACAATAAACTACAAGCCAAGACGTGTCTGAAACCGGCTAAACATCAGAGTGACGCGTTCACGGGCCGCTTGTCAATAAAAAATTAGGCTCCACAGGTACTTTGCAATAATAATCCACTCAAAGTTTATTTACAACACACCAATAAATTCCAAAAGGCACAAATGCGATACAAATTCATCCTTGACAAGTGCAAAAAAAAACAAATTGACGTTTAACAACTTGTGTGCTCTCACCGGTCACTGGAAAACATCAATATTACATGAACCCAAAATCCATACTGGATGAGAAATTTAAATACACAAATATGGAAAAAGGTTATACCATACAAATTGGCTCTAACACTGCTGTTAACATCATTTCATCATTTTTTTGTCTCCAATCACTTGCCTGTTTCGTTTTTTGACTTCAGGTCCCTGCTGATCCTCGACGACATCTGGGACAGCATGGTGTTAAAAGCATTTGACATCCAGTGTCGCGTCCTTTTGACCACCAGAAACAGAAGCCTTACAGACTCTGTCAGTGGTAAGTACTGAAGGGTATGAACATGTGGACTGAGATGAATTTAAGCTGCAGAGATAATTTGGTTGATTTTTTTTAATCTTGTAGGTGCTAAATATGAGGTTGAAGTGGAGAGTGGTCTGGATGAAAAGAAAGGACTGGAGATCCTGGCCCTTTACACAAACACCAAACCTCAGGGACTTCCTGAAGAGGCCCGCAGCATAGTCAAGGAATGCAAAGGTTGGAGTCTTATATATGAATTAAATACATTGCAAATACTCTATAAATGTGTAGTTTTGGAAGTATTGATGTTTCACTTTGGATTATCTTTAGGTTCCCCTCTTGTAGTGTCCCTGATTGGCGCTCTTCTCAAAGAGAAGCCAAACCGTTGGCAGTACTACCTCAGTCAGCTGCGGCAGAAAAAGTTCAAGAGAATTAGGAAGTCATCATCCTACGACTACGATGCCCTCGACCAAGCCATGTCTGCCAGCATCGAAGTCCTGCCTGAGGAACACCGAGAGCTCTACAGGGACCTCACAGTGCTGGAGAAGGACGTCAAAATCCCTGCAAAGGTTTGTCTGCACCAGAGGAGCTATGTCTGCAGGATTCATTTTGTGTATTTACCTTTAACTGAGGTCTTCCTCCAGGTGCTTTCTGTGCTGTGGGACTTGGAGCCAGAGGAGGTGGAAGACATTCTTGAGGAGTTTGCCAACAAGTCCCTGCTGTTTGTGGACAATCACAATAAACCCTACCTTTACTACCTCCATGACCTGCAGCTGGATTTTCTGGTGGAGCAGAATCGCACCCAGCTGGAGGTAAGTTTGAATGAACACGTTTTCACAACAGCTGAGTAGTAGTGGTTGTTAGATGAAGATTGAGCTGGTTCTATGAAGCAAGATTTGTGTATTGCGTGGTAACTTTAGGGTTAACTCAAGATTTTCAGTACAACAAAGTTAGTTTTCTTCTTACTGAGGTTAATTTCTTCACTGTACCTGCAGAGACGGTGAGGTTCATCGTCTGATCATGTTTTTATTTCAGAGCCTTCACTCCAAGGTGGTGCATCAGTACCAGGAACACTACAGAGACGGTCCTCCCACATCAGGAGACGAGGAATGTCTCTACTGGATCAGATTCTTGACCTACCATATGGCCAAAGCCAACATGGCCCAGGTACCACCCACACACACTCACACATTCGCATCACTCTATGTATTTCTGCCTATGATAAATGCATTTTGAAACTAACAAAGTGAATTTTTACAGAAATTTTATGCTTTTTTCCAGCTCAGTGTCTTTCTCCTCTCTGAAATGTGTTTTCATGTACTTCTAGGAGCTTCACTCACTCCTGTTTTCTCTGGATTGGGTCAAAACCAAGGCTCAAATCATGGGCCCAGCTCACCTCATCAGTGATTATATGGAGCACGGACCTGTTCTGGACAAAGAGGTCAGCACACAGCAAAACTTGAACCTTCTTTTTAAGTGTGTTTACATGGTGAGCCATTACATATTATAACAGTCAAGGGTGTCTCTCATTTTCCTTGAACAGACTTTAACATCACCCAGATATCTCCTCAGGGTAAATGTAGATTAAAACTCCACCTGTTTTTTTGTCCTTCCTTTCCCCCAAAACTCACTTTGAATGACAATTAAAGTCAGTTTTATTTCCCCTCAGCTCATTTGATGAAATAATAAACAGAATTTTATAACACTCTGTTTATTGCCTGTATCCTCTGGACTTGAAATTTTGTCATTGCGAGAGGGCAGATGCGATAATTGAAATCTGGTTCTTTGTGCAGAAGCTAATTATTCCTTCATCTGTTTTACAAGGACAAGCTGTCTGGAATGTCTGAAATGGGTGTTTGGTGCATTAGCGTTCATATGTGTTGGATTTATGCACAGTTTTTTCTAAGTGATTTATGTAAATGGATCTTCTATGTCTTTTCTTAGAATAGTGAAGTGTGCAGTCATTTCCAAGAGTTTCTGTCTCTGAACGGCCACCAGCTGGAGCAGCGTCCTTTCCCTGACGTGGTGCAGCTGGCCCTCTCCCAGCCTCAGACCTCAGAGGTGTACAGACAGGCACTGGTGCAGGCACAGGACCGAGCCAGCAGGGGGGGACTCTACTTTGACTGGCTGTATGAAAACAAGCTGATGTTGTGCTTACCATGTTAAATTCTGTTATGAATGAAGTTGAAACAAAGAGATTTATTGATGATTTTGAGCATCTATATTTTGTTATACTGGTATAAAGGCTTTTTAGATGTACATCTTTATTTTGCATGTTTATATCTTTCTGTGTATGGAAAATATTTCTAAAAAAAAGTGTTTTCACTGGACACTGTAAAATATTCATGAGAGTTTTTAACATCTGCATTGAAATAACTGATGTCAGATATTAGGGAATTTATAATCTGGTCTGTTATTTTGATCTTAATTATGTAAAAACGTTTTTAACTTGATGTTAATTTGTATATAATACAAAGACAATGATCATAGACTGTGTGTTCTATGATGGAGTGAAATGTCATCGTCATTTTCTGTCCAGGAATAAGGGCAGTATTGAGAGTCTGTCCCGTCTGGTGATCCATCCCCACCAGGGCTCAATCTACTCCGCCTGCTTCTCTCATGATGGCACCAAAATCGCCTCCTGTGGAGCCAGCAAGACGCTTAAGGTATCAAGTCTGACTTGTTTTGGTGTGTTTGTGTATCATAGTGCCTCTACTTATCATTCATCCTTGATCAAGTCTTTACAGACTAGTTTCAGCATTAAAGGGATATTCCAGCATAAAATTAATTTAGGGTCAAACACACCATAACATCAAGTTAGACACCCCTTCGAGAGATGAATGTTGCTGACTGCTTGCCTCTCTAGTTATACCAACTTTAGTTTAGTAACGTAAATACTCAGAACAGCACCTAACTTCATCAACAGTACATATGGGGTCCTAACCACAGCACTAGCAACCGAACATCTTTTTAGCTTTGCCTAATTTCTTTACCAAAGAGACTAAACACAACTCACCTACTCTCTTCCAGCAGCCGCTTGTTTGTAGTGAGACCTTGGGCCAGTCCATTATGGACTGCAGCAGGGTGACGCAGCTCAAGAAAGAACATTTATGATCATTTCATCATGGAAATGCAATTAGACCGAGACACTAAGGCAGAAGAACTACCGCATCTGCAGTGCAAAATAATTAATATGGTGATTATTATTTCAAGGAAATGATAAAGGAATGATAATAAATGTTCTTCCTTGAGCTGCCCGGAATTACCTAAATTATTTTTTTGTCGAAACATCCTTTGAAAACAGCCTGTACAGCACTTGAATTGAATCAACATGTTGTTGTGTTCCTTTTTTTCACTCAGGTGCTTAAAAGCACCACAGGTGAGAAGCTCACAGAGATCCAGGCCCACGATGATGAGGTGCTCTGCTGTGCCTTCTCCCCAGATGACCGTCTTTTAGCGACCTGTTCCAGTGACAGGAAAGTGAAGGTGAGATATCTCTCTTCAAACCGAACAACCTCGTCTTGGTCTTGTGTCGTGTCAGTAAGTTGAAACTTTGTCTCTTAGGTGTGGAACTTGGAGCGAGCCATGCTGTTGAGGGTTTTTGAGGAGGAGCATGAGGAGCAGGTCAACCACTGTCGGTTCACCAACACAACACGGCGCCTCCTGTTGGCCACATGCTCCAACGACAGGTTTATGAATGCCAAGGTCTGTCCTTGTTGTAACCTTTTAATACTGATTTCCTTGCTGTTACATCTCCAGTTCAGCAGGATGTTCTTCTTCTTTCTGCCCATCATTACACTTGTACAGAAAAAATCAAATGTAGCAAAAAGACTCTTACTTTTTCTTCTTTCTGTCTTTTTCCCCTCTGTCTTTCTTGCTTTATGTCTCTGTTTCTACAGTTGTGGAATCTCAATAAGCCCTCCTCCCAGAACACCATGTTTGGCCACTTTGAGCCGGTCAATCACTGCTGCTTCTCCCCGGATGACACCTATGTTTCCACTTCCTCCAACGACGGCACCGTAAAGGTGAGAGCCATCAAACTAGACCCTTGTAAAGCTGTTCCATTGAACTTGATTCATGGCAGTGGGATGCACGGATTTATATTTTTGTCCTTTTTGTTTTAACCCCAGAGAAGTGGGTTTCAAAGCGCCGATGGGATATGTCTGCTATATGTCTGAGTGTCTTTGTGTGTTTTGCATTTACGCAGCTGTTTGAGGTGTCATCTGCCAATGAGTGGAAGACGATCAACGTGAAAGGCATGTTTGCAGAGAGCGATGAAGAGGTCTTCGTCAAGTGCAGCACCTGGACTGCTGACAGCAATCGGATCATCTGTGCTGCCAGAAATGCCGCTCTGGTGAGCACTTTTGAACCCAAAACAAAATCTTAAAGGGATCATTATGTTCAAATGAGGTGTGATCGTTTGTCAGGTTGTATCGTTCTTGTGATTTAAGCGCTGAATGCCTTCTTGTGCATGTCTGTGCTTTCCAAACTTTAGCCCAGCATCACAGAGTTCACTTTGTCCTCCGTGTCCTTGTTGGTGTCGTGTCGATTAACTGAAGAAGGCACCAGAAGGAGGCTGTTAGCTAGTTTGTCTTTCAGAAGGTCTCCAGTGTTTGTGTGTCCTGGCTGTTAATGTGTGCACCCTCCTTCTTTCCTGGGTTTTCTAAAAATCAGTCAGTCTTGTCCTGTAATCAGTCTGTCTGTGTCCTCTACAGCTTTTCATTTGTATTCTGAGGAAGGATCCAAACTCCACAGAGATGTCTGCGCTGCTTTCTTTGGCTTTAAGGAGAAGACATATGAGAATTTAATGTTGCCCGTTTGCATTAGTGTTAAACAAGTCGATTTTGTTTTTGGAGCACACAATAAAAATTAGATTATGATGCTTTTTACATTAAAAGATGCAACAAAAACAACGGGAGCCAAATGTGGCTTACAAAGAGAGGGTGAAGAGAGTGGTTTGGTCGTTTGTGTTGCTGTATTTACTTTATTGGCTCGCTGTCCTTCCTTTTAAGTTCAATATTTGTCTTCAGTTCTTGGAGTGTTGGCAGGAATGAGGCAATTCTTTAATCCCAAGTTTACAAGTTCCATCCTTCACTCATTTAATGCATCAGAGTTGAGCATTTGTTGACCTTTTTGTCCTTGTTTCTCAGGTGTTTGACGTGAAGACATCAGAAATGTTGTTCGAGATCAAAACTAATCGTCTGAGTACAGTGCAGTACTGTCACGCCTGTCCTACCACGAACCTCCTGGCCATTGCATATTCAAACTACGCTGTGGAGGTAAAACACAAAAGACATCTCTTTCTTTTATATGAATGTGTCTGAAAGATCCTGTGTATAAAGGAGTGCAGTGTTCCTCATGGTGGAAATGTTTCCATTCAAAATACTGGTAGCACACACCAAACGGGGAGTTGATTAAATGCATTAACGTGAACTTAATGTAATCTGATCAGTAAAACTCTTCTTTGATCGAGAAGCACCTATTGATCATGAAAGAAGATCTTATGTTTGTCCCGATCTAACATTGATATCGGATATCGGTCTGATATCAACAAATAAACAAATATTGGATTATAACTGCCTGGATCTAAAATCTCAGATATCAGCACTCTGATACAAGCAGTCCATTCCAGACTCTGCTCCAGCACCTCGATCTAGCAGTACCTGGATCCAGTATGCAGAGCCCATGTAATCACAACAACAGTGTGTACTAAGGTACAAATAAAGTAGCAAGGAGTAGGAGTGATGTCGGCCATGTGGCAGGATTTTTTGTTTAAGTCCAAAAAAGACATTGCAGCTGAGTGCAAAACTTGTCATGCACAAGGTTGTGCCAATATCAGATCAACATCAGTATCTGCTAATACTAAAGGCTACAATATCAGTATCGTATCAGAAGTAAAAAAGTTGCATCGGGACACCCCTAATATTATAGCGATTCAGAGAAGAGAAAGGGTTATTTTGTGTCTTCAAACAACAGCTGCAAAGCAAAACATAATGCCATCAAAAAAGCTGACTTCATACCATATTAATGTCCTGATATAACAGATTCTGCATGTGTTTATGTCCCTCAGCTGTGGGACTTGGAGTCCAATAAGAAGATGGCAGACTGCAGTGGTCACCTCAGTTGGGTGCATTGTGTTGAGTTCTCTCCTGACGGCTCTCAGCTGCTCTCCTGCTCTGACGACCAAACCATCAGGGTAAGACTGTAACTCAGTGTGAGTGATGCATGAGTGTATCAAGCTCAGACCAGCACTGTTGGTAGTGCTGGTCTGACTTCACTAATGGAAGGGCTGTCATGATGTCACATATCACCTCACGATTATAATGGCCCAAACAAAGGTATTATTGCGATTTATATTTGGAGGAAAAAGAAAAATAAATAAATTAAGGACTAACTATGTGACTATATTTTGTCTTCACTAGCCCTGAGTCAGAAACTCACAAAGACACAGCCTCATAAAACAATAGTTGTTAAGGCTTTTATTTTGGCATTTTAACCTCTTGCATTTAGGTTGCTTATAAAAAATATGCTTTTATTTTGAAATGAAACACATACTTCTTCCAGTATATTGTAAGGCGCAGAAAGGAATGCAAACGGCTAAAAGAACCAAAAGTAAAAAAAAATGTTCAATTTAATGGCCCCACTGGAGACACACAAGACTGTTGTTTTTTTTAGCACAATATCAATTAAAGTAGGTGGTTGTTACTCATACAGGCATGATGCGGCAGCCTTCTCTCTAGACTATGACTGATTATTACAAATCAGCTATATAGGTTTCAGCCCCTTAAAGAGGGGCGCAGAAGACCTTCAAGTGTATTAATCCAACTGCACTTTATGCTGTAGGAATAACAATGCTGTATACTTCACCAAACAACTGGGCCACAACACACACGTAAGCACACACAGACAAAGAGCACATATACTGTATGATATACTGATATATGCTGCTGTTATTTGTTGCCTCCACAGTCCTCTACCAGTGTTTTTGCAGTGAGGTAATAAAATTACAAGTTGTAAACTGATTTGTCACGAGTCATTGCTTCCTTAAAAAGCACCATGTAGTAATAACAGCCTGAATATAATAAAGTAATTATATTAAACCTCTGCAGTTTAACCTTTAGATGGCCTGCAGTCATGGTCTTTTGGTCCAGAAATGATTTTGTAATATAAATGAAAGCCATCAATGCTGCAGAGAGAGCTTTGCAATCACAGTTCTTATTTTTAATGCTTTTGGAAGCAGTGTCTTGTGGGTTTGGATGATTTTGCACAGTAGCTTGGCATGTAAAACTTGACACAAAAGGCTCTTTTCAATTCGAGTTACTTAGTAAGAGTAGTAAAAAGTTTTAATATACCGGCATGGCAGAAAGAAACTAGATCCATTTTCAAATCATGCACATCTCCTATAAATGAAAGTCATGATTAAACTGACCCCTCTCTGTTTAAAGTCTTCCCTATGAGGGAGGGGAACCTTCCTCCACTACTATGTCATTTCATCTTTATTATTTCAGTTTTTTATTCACAGACTTCAACTTAAAATTCAGTTTGAAGAGCCAGACAAAATAGAGTAGACAGAATCTGGTGACTTATTTATTGCCGGAGACAGTTTATTCCTTATTTGTCTCTGCAGCGAAATGATTTAGAGTCAGATAACAGATTAATCAGCAACATTTGTCATGTAATAAGTCAAGTTTGCAGCTCTGATGTTTCTTTTCTCCTCATGCAGCAAAAGTAATGTGTGAGGAAAAAACAAGGGAAGTTTACTTAAACGCCTTCTCTCCTCTTCCTGCTTCATTGTCCTTGTAGTTGTGGGAGACAAAGAAGGTGCACACCTCCTCAGCTGTCTGCCTGAAAAGAGACTCTGATGTTCTCTTCAACGCGGAGGAAATCATCGTGTCAGCTGCAGACAACTGCAACCGACTGCAGGTGAGCAGGAGTGGAGAGTGAGGGGGGGAAGCTGAGAGATTAAATAACAGCAGGCAGATGCAAATAGATTACAAAGCGAGTGTGTCAGGTGAGTAAAGAAAGGAAAAATGTACGTGCTGGTGTGTTGTAGGTTCGTGAAGGCAGGACGGGATCAGTGTTGTTCCAGTCAGAGGAGATGTCCTCCAGGATTCGGTGTACGTGTATGTGCAGGCAGCCCCCTGCTGTGGCCTTTGGACAGGAGGACGGTACAGTGCAGGTAGGGAATCAAATTAAACCTTTGATACAGACCGAGCGTGTTTTTGTATTTGAATCACCAACAACATGGGCTTTTAACCAATCAGAATCAAGTATGAAACAGAACTGAATAATGTAAAACCCTTTAGTGCAGCAAATCAGACCTCATACATTGAAGTTTTTACCCTTTCAAAATAAAGAACTTGTCAGTGATTTTGCTGAGTAAGGCCAATCACTTTTAGATCCTCTGACCCTCTTTATAATAGCGATATTTTAATGGATGTAAGTAATCTTTAAGTTATTTGGTACATCAGTGCTGCAAAGTCAACTGAACAGTTTCTACCTTATAAATTGTTAAACTGCTGTTGTGGTTGTTTTCAGACCCTGTTGAGTCATAGGTCCTGACACAAGCACTGTCGCCTTTTTTATCCGTCCTGTCAGCTGTACGTCAGGTCGGCTCAGAGCTCCTCTTTCATCTCTGTCGGCCTTCACTCCTCTCTGCTCTGCTTCTCCTCTAATGTGTGATCTGGATTCCCGGCACTTTCTTTCCCCTCTTCTCTCCTCTCCTCTTCCACTGCTCTTTGTCTTGTTGATAAATGATTGTTTGACCGTAAAGAATAAGGTCGTAGGCAGTGTTGTGGCAGGTGTGTTTTTTTTTTTTTTTCTGTGTGTTTTCTGTCCAAAAAGAAACCCTTAAAAGAACACACACATGCCTGCAGTCATACTGAACCAGGCGGACACCCCACAGCAGAGAGCGACTCTAATTAATTAACAGATCCTGCAGTGGTAATGAATATAGAGGTTAATGATTTAATTGCAGCTCTTCTTCTGTCCCGAGAGATTTAAAAGGAGAGGATTAGTGAAGACGAGGAGGGAGAGAGGCACTGTTATCTATCAGATTCTTGCAGCTACTGCAGAACTGAAAGAATTAAAAAAGTGAGAAGAATTACTCTTTAAAGGTGAGTTGAGGTCAAATGAGTTGATCTGATTTGATGTCACTGCGACATCAAAACTTATTAACCTTGAGGGCTTTGAATCAAGAGGGGACTTAAAGCTGGTACATCGCTGGCTCATCATTTCTGATACTGTGGTCTTCTTCTCCTTTCAGCTTCACATTTATTTGTTGACTTGACATAATTTCGTAATTCACCAGAATTCCAGGTGGTAAGATGTCTTTTTGCTGAAGGGGCTATCACAGATATTTCAGTTTTGGTGTTTTTTGGTTGTAAAAGGTTATTATATAAAGAACACCTTCCAAAATATTGCGCTCCAGTGCACTACCAACACCCACTGCTACTTCAACAATAATTCAAAGTACAGTTATCATCCGTCTGACCATATCAGCAAAAGCGGAATATGTAGAAGCTTCATAAAAGTAACATTTGTAGTTGAGTTGTTGCATTGGGTTGCATCAGACTTTCCAGGTATTCATAAAATTAAAGCTCATTGGTATAACAATCTATAGCTTTGAACAGATTTAGACACTGCTGCTCTTGCCATTGTACTCCCTGAAATAAACACCAGAGGGAGTCCCAGTGTTACTTTGAGATATTACGGACACCAATGACCACTGCAGTGGAGAGCCTTCATGTCCCTCTCAATCGAGTGAAATTATTTACAGCCACAAAAAAAAAAGAAGAAAATGAGTGTGCACTGATTTATTTACCACAGAGCCAGTCGGACAAACCAGCGTTTCAAAGCTGGTCTTAATAAATCTGAGTTCATTTCCATTTTTTTTAAGAAATCAGATAAATAAATACAGGTTTTTTATGATTAAAAAGGGCATTTGTGAGTGTGTTTGTGCGCATGTGTGTGTGTATTTGTTTTGTGGTAGGCAGCAGGACTGACAGTTCGTGAGGTCCTGAGGAGGCTCGGCTGCAGAATGTGGCAACTGTTGACCTCTTTCAGGGGTCTGATTGTAGCTGTAGGGCTTTACACAGGCAGTGTGAAGGTATGGTAGGGAAAGAGGAACATCTCCTTGTGTGTGCATTTAAGATCCTTTAAGAAAAATCCACATCTGGTCCTGTATGTGTAGGTAAACACATCCTGCAGTGCTTCAGCTGCGTGGTTTCTCCAGAGGTGGAAGCATTTAAAATAAGTGTTCCCTATTGACCCCCCTCTACTTTAGCCGGCTTTTATATTTGCTTATTATGTTTACCAAACACCCTGAGGCTCTTCCCTGACTGCACCATTCCTGAAATCCTTGAGCCGGATGTGAGGATGTGTTAAGCTCTCCAAAGTGCTCTCTCCCAGGCTTTGAAAGTTCAGCGTCTCTGTCAGATACGTGGAGCTTGACAAACATGGTCCGCTTGCCCTGAGACTTGTTCTGTGCAGACATTTAAACCTTCTCCTCTGAGATGTAAATATTGTAGTGGCTGGTAAAATCCCAGACACCTTGGACCTTTCTTTTGTCCTTTAAAAACTGCAGGTACTGTGCCAAGATGAAGAGAACACGGTGGGGTTATTAAATAAAATTGACTTGGTACTTCATCTGGGCTGATTTGTCCCATTTAAGGATATAAAATTTATTTTTGGTTACAGTTCTCCATTTAATCCTATCAGAAATCTAGTGAGATGTGTGTGCTTCAATGGAACGTCACCTTTAAGGGTGTTTGTTCAATATGATCACTTTGGCAAAGAGGAAAAGTTTTTAAATGTCTGTGTGACTTTTAGCAAACACATAGATCTTATTTAAAAAAAAAATAGTGGTAGTCCACGGTGTGATTTTTTGCAAAATGATCCAGTATTTTCTTCATTGTTTTACTTAAACTGTTGTTTTTGGTCTGAGTCACTCGCTTCAAGTACCTTCAATGATCATTTGAAAATTTCTCATTGCATCTTTAATTAAGAAAGGCCAAAAAAGAGTGTAATCAAAGATTAGCTACATCATTATGCACAAAGCCTGATTACAAAACATGTCAATTTTGTGTCAAGTGGTGAAACTTAGTTTCTCCCATTAGCAGGGCTGTGGCTCCAATTAATGGCCTCTTCTGCTTTGATGCTTAAACTCATGGATATAAGCCAGCAGACATCCCATAGCACACATATGACTGTATATTAATCTAGAAAATAGAAATATTGTAGCATGAAGGCAGTGTCTAGATAACTGGAATCCAACCCTTGACCAGGACAACATGTCACCAGCACAGGCATGTGAATGTTAACATAGAAGGAAGACCAATGCTGGTGGTGCTAGCTCTGCTAATGGTAGCTGCAATCAGTCAGCCAGTTTGAAGTCTTTTACTTTCAGACATTTCTCAACAACATGGTTTTGCTCATCAGGTACAATGCAATGGAAAAAAAGGCTTAAATGGAAGTCTGTCATTGCAAATACCACTAATAGCACTCTTTTGAATATTAGATTTTGATATTGCAATAAGGGCATGGTTGCCTTTGATTTTCAAGCCTTCATCATACGACCTGCCAACCAGGATAGAGATGTAGCCATAGTCTCTCCATTAAATGCATTGTAAAGTGACTATTTTTGTTTTCTGATTGCTGAACGTGAAGCTTTTGGGAAAACAGAAACCCAGATTCGAACCACCATCGCATTTATTGGCAATGAATCAGATATTTGTCAAGTTTTCATCCTGCTCACTGCTGAATCCACGAGCCACATCACTAGTAAGGTGAAAAACTTTCTTGAACTCACTCTTGTTGGATTCTCTTTGCTATGATATTTTTAGTGATCCAAGACCTTTTGGGGGCTTCAGAAATCTTCTATACCCTCTGAAAAGCCAGCTTTGAATGCTCTGTAAAATATCCCCATCTTTATGCAGAAGCAGCCAACCCCAGTGAAAATGCATGGTGACACTTTTTTTTCCCTTCAAGCCGAATCTTCCAAGCATCAAAGCTGTTTTGTTCTCCAACTCCCGCAGTAATGTCTCCAGGGCTGTCAGACCCCCGGCAGCTTGTGGCAGCCTTGACCGGACTGAACGGTCGCGCTCAGAGGCCCCACTCTACTTTCTTTTTGAAGTGCTTATCACCATCTAGCCAGCAGCAGCACTTCACCTCTCCTCCTCAATTACTCCCTCAAAAATGTGACTTCTTGTCAGGATTTCTTATTAAACTTTCTGGGACACTTTCCCTCGCAGAGTATATCTTGGCAAACAGAGCTATCATTTGAGAGTTACATAGATATTCTAGACATGGGGTGTGAACTCTCTGTGACTTTTCGGTACAGCAGCTCCTCCACTGTGCTGAGTTTATATCTTTTCTTGGCCAAACACTTTATTCGACACAAAAGTTACCCATCCCAGACACAGGAGCAGCGCCACTCTTGGTTGAAACTTAAGCATGTCTTGTTATCAGTTGGCCGGTTGGTCCAATTCTTTGGTCAAGTCATAATTCAACAAAAACTGCTTTGATTGGTATTAAAATTCAGGGTCAGGGATGTACTGAGTCGGGGCCAGTACCAGATCCATAAACATAAGGTAACAACTGAGACCTAACAGTGCTGTGACAGCAACACTGTGATTGAGTTTGAGACAGTGAAAAAACATATGGTATGTTCTATCTAAACAGGTTAGCTTATGAGCTAAAGTTACTTAGCACAGATGAAAGTTAAAACAAAGACGTTTAGCAAACTGTTAAAGCACACAAACCAGGTCAGAAGTATGCGAAACTTTAGAAAATTCTACCGTGTGAAAGGACCTTACAACTCAAAATTTCTCCAAATTCACTCGGCAGATCAGTGCAAAATTTAGTAAAAAAACATTTTCTGATTCCAAATAATGCTTATAAAAAACTTTTGCTCTCCCAGACTGTTCAGCACAGGCTCAGTCATTGTGTTATACCCTGACTTTTGGCATCAGAGGCTAAGTTAATCCTACTTTCTTTTAAAACTTCTTTTCGGCCATTATAATTAAATCTTAAGTCCCATCTGCTCACTCGCTGTAGGCATGCTGTATGACCTTACTGCATTCAGTCAGTAGAGGGAGATTTAATTATTTTGGTTTCACTTTTGTGGCTGTGATGTCGTCCATCTTTTGAAGCAGTCTTCAGCTCTAAAACCTCACAAAGCTGTTGCCACGTTGACATCCTCTTCATCTCCTCACTGTTTATTTTGTAAACTGTTTCCTGTTTCTTCCCTCCAGCTGTTAGAAGTGCCCTCAGGGAAATTCCTGGCTACCCTGCGAGGACACACTAAGACTGTCCTGCACTGCAAGTTCAGCCAGGACGGCCAAACACTCATCACATCCTCAGAGGATACCACAATAAGGGTAGGACTAACCTCTTCTCCTCCCTTGGTTGCCCACTTCCTCCTCACTTACTCTGCTGTCCTCTTCTTTGTTTTCCTCCTATTCATCACTGACTCCCATATCCACTCCATCTTTTCCTGCCTAATTCACACCATGCTCTTTCACCTCCTCCCCTAACCTTTTTTATTCTGTGCTATCGATTATTCCTCCTCCCCATCCCCATTTCTCACCTCAAGTAAAACTGCTTGTACTGCTGAATTGGGTTCCCTCACCTCACCCTACCTGTTACACTCTACCAGCTTCTCAGTCGACCTTTTCTCCTCTCCATTCGTCATCCCCCTCTCCTCTCCTCTCTCTTCCTCTCTCCCTGAGATAGTTCTTTATCTACCTCCAGCTCTTCTGTTGACTGTGTACTGCTATCTGTGTTTGTGTGTGAGAATACGAGTGTGTTTCCCATCTTTACGGTCTGTCAACCCCCCTCTGTTCATGCTCTGTTGCTCATTTCCCCTTTTCCTCTCCCCCCCCACACTCTCATCTCCTCCTCCTCCGTCTCCTCATCTTGCCGGCAGACCCGTCCACTGCAGCACTTCTTCCACACTCCTTTAACGCAGCATCTTGTTCCGTATGCATGCCGCTTCAGCCTGGGCCATCACCATTCCCAAACCGTCTGCTGCTCACTCAAAAGCTATTCAGATTCATGCTGTTTGACATGTGCTTTGAGGAAACGGGAGACTGTGATATTTATTTATTAATGCAAATGCAGAGTGAATGTAAAGAGATTGGATGTTAGCAGGTGATGGATTGTGACCTCTGGAGAAATGACGGATTTAGTGGGATGGAGAAAAGGTTCAAAGTTTCACACAGGGAGTGACTGATAGGGTTATTTTGCATGTCCTGTCCAAATCCTTGAGCTTAGTTGAACCCTCGCTGCTGATCATTAACCTTCAAACACACTGTTACAAGCACATCCAGAGTTTTCAATCCCCAGATGCGTTTGCACAAAGCACACCTAAATAGCAAGGACATACGATCAAAAGTAAAGCTCTACAAACTCTTCTAAGTACAACAAGCTCTACTCTCCAGCATTTGTTGCAATGAGTTCATTGGCATAAACTTGGATATCTCAGCTTTGTTTGGGATTTTGAAGTTGAACTGTGCATGCAATGTTCACCCCACCAAAGTGGAACCTTTAACCTTTGCTGGACTTGTTGTGTACTGTATTATTTCCATGAAAAGTGTAAATAAAGAAACTCTGGTCTGCATGCAGTATATCTCTGCGTAGGACTATATGGCTGTGGTAAAAAAAAAAAAAAAAAAAGTTAGTGGAAAAGTTAATTATCACTTTTTATCAATGGTGGTTTGGGGGTTTTAAAGTAAAAAAAAGGCCACAGAATAAATTAAAACCTGTTACATTAATTCCTCAAGACATGTTTAAAAAGAATTGTGGTTCCTGTCTGTGGGTCTGTCGCCCCCTGTAGGTGTGGAAGTGGCAGACAGAGGAGTGTAAGGTCCTGCAGGGTCATAAGGAACAAGTCAGAAACTTCTCCCTGCTCTCCGACTCACCTGCTGACACCAGACTCTTGTCCTGGTCCTATGACGGCACTGCAAAGGTAACACACACACACACACACACACACACACACACACACACACACACACACACACACACACACACACTCAGGATTCAGCTACTGAAGCAGCAGCCAGTGAACCTAATAAAAAATCTCTCCTTTCTCTTCCTCACTACAAGATGTGGGATGTGGAGAGTGGAGAGAAGCTGCGCGACATCGAGGCTCATCGGGGAGCCATCCTGTCCTGTCATGTCTCACCAGATGGATGCCTCTTTGCCACCACCTCTGCTGACATGACTGCTAAGGTTCAACATTTACACACACACTCACACCCATGAGACAAGACATTTCTGTTAGTGCTGCCAGTAACAACACAACCTATTACACATGAACGTCTTTCCGGGAACCTCCATCTGAACTGATTATTTACAGCACATGCACACATATTCGTTGGAGGCAGGCTAGTTCCTCTGTCAGGGAGGCGAGAGACCTCTGAGATTAGCGTGCAGCAGATGGCCCCGGGCTTGGTGAGTTAGTTGTGGGTCACTCTGTCCTCGTACACCCACGTCCAGTCTGACTGTGCTGGCCTGCAATCGACCCTCCTCCCTGTCTGGAGGTAGTTGTTGCCAGGTCGGCTTTTACCAACACCACTGTGCTCGACTTTGGTCTGACTTTGGCTCACTCAGCAGGCTGGAGATGTTGTTTTTAACCTTTTCAGTGTACAGCTTTGAAATGATTGCTTCTCCTTGCATGGCACACCCTGAACTGTACTGGAACTACAAACACTTAGCAGTCTGAGTATCTTTGAGTGTTTCTGAAAAAAGGCAAGCTCTCACACTCAATCTGGGCTACAAAAGTGATCTAAAAACCGAAAACACTTCAGTCCTGCTTGGATCATCAGACCCCATTTAAAAGGGTATTTATAAAATCCAATCATGGAGCTAAAGCTTTATTACCTCCTTATCATACAAGGTAAAGGTGTGTACATCGTAATTGTCTAGTTGTTCACATTTGGAGTTCAGAAATGAGATTGTCAGGCTGTTTTTTTTCTCCAAAAAATAATCAAATGGATGTTTTTCCCCTGAAGGAAGATGAAGATATTTTTTTCATTCTTTGGTCCTCTGGATGCTGGAGCAGAATGAAGATGTTTGTCTATTTTTTTTCTTCAAAAACCAACAGGGCAGTTGACGTGTCTGGCTCTAACCTTTCACATTTTCATTCTGCAACACCACAACAAATAAAACACTGTCTGACGAAGTGGGATGCTTAAAGGGATATTCCGGCGTAAAATTAATTTAGGGTCAAACACACCGTAACACTGAGTTAGACACCCCCATTGGGCAAAGATAAAAAGATGTTTGATGGCTAGTGCTATGGCTGGGACCCTATACATACTGTTGATGAAGTTGGGTGCTGTTCTGAGTATTAAGCAAGCGGTCAGTAACATTCATCTCTCAAGGGGGTGTCTAACTCTGTGTTATGGTGTGTTTGACCCTAAATTAAATTTACGCCTGAATATCCCTTTAAGGAGTGGGAGTGGCTTTGCATGCAAAGCGCTCCTGTTGTGATGTCACCACAGGACAGTTGTGTTTCCAGTAGGTGTGGGACAGAAATGATGCAGGGGCTTTTTTTGCTTAATTAAAGGATAACTCAATTATGTATGACTATGTAAGGAAAAGGGTCTTCAATGGAATAGGAACTTACCAGTGTGTTGGATAATACATAGTCTATCTTGTAGACGTTTAGTGGATCTAGAGCTACAGCCACAGAGTTTCACACGGGAATTCAGATTTGATGGACACTTACAGTAGAGAAACAACCACTGGGTCTGCAGCCAACCTGGCTTCAGTCAATGGACATTAGTGAGAGAGAATGTGTGTTTTATGGATTTGGCAGGGATGATAATTTAGGTGTGTGTGTGTGTTGTGGGGCTGGTAAGCAGCCAATCACATAGTCCTTGCTCTCCAGACCGAGCAGAGGCTTTGGTAGCTCAAAAACACACACAAACACAAAGTCACTGAACTCCATCCATCCAGAGGTCAAACCAGAAAGGATCAGCTGTGAGTGTTTTTGTAAAGTGCCGCAAAAGAAGGAGAATTATCTGTTCTGCATACTTTTGTTCTTCCACCTCTCTCTCTTTTTTTCCCTTCTTTTTTTCAACTTTCTCTCCTGACCTCCACATGGACAGGACCATGTGTGCAGACATTGTTAGCCGCCTGCCAAATGAAGTGTCTAATTATGAGTTGTGTTATTTTCAGTGCGGCGCAGGATGTGACCGGGGTGAGGAAGAAACACAGAGGGAGGGAAGAGAAAGCGGGGAGAGAGATAAAAGAGAATGGACGAGAGACAGAGAGTAAAGAAGGGAAATCCAAACACAAAGAGAGAAAGAGAAAAAAACAACAAAGGGCTGGAGAGAGCCAAGTGACAATTTCATCATTTTATCATCAGGACAAAAAGTCACAAATTTATGAGAAAAATTGTAAAATTTATGAGGATAGTGCAAGAGAAAAAAGACAGACTTGAAAGAGAAAAAGGACAGAAACTACTTAGAAATTTCATAAAGCAACAAGAAAATTTTTAAGAAAATAGTTGCAAGAAAAAAACTCATAAAATTGCAAGAAACAGTTCAGATCAATAAGACAAAAAGGCTGTAGATTACTGATTAAAAACTTTTTAAAAATTAAGAAGAAAAAACTTAAATTTGAGGAGTGAACTCTTAAATAAAGAGGTTACAATCGTAAATTTATTGCTCAATGAGAAAGGAGTCATTCTCATCAGCTACAGTTCATCTCTATGTAAAATAACATTTAATATTAGAGCAGCAGCCAGCTGCCTTTCATGACAAGAAGAAATGTGGATCATGTGCTGAAGTGACACTCTTCAGCTGGGGACAAACAGCATTTTCAGGAGCATGCACAGGCTCTTCATCCTAACAGACTTAGTTTTTTGCTCTGGTTCTTGTAACACTGTGATGCTGATGTGCCAAAAGACTACGCGTGATCATATTCATGTACATGAATCCTCTTTATTCTGTCATTTTTTTGCTGTTGTTTTTGAAAAAATGTAAGTTTTGTATTTAATTTTATGCACAACTGAAGTATTTTTTTTACCTTTTTCTTTTTCTCCCCAGTTGTGGCACTGCGAGTCCTGGCAGTGTGCCAATACCCTGAGCGGCCATCAGGACTGTGTCCGCAGCTGTAGATTCACATGGGACAGTCGACGCATCGCTACAGGAGACGACAACGGCGAGATTCGGGTGTGTGTTCAAAACATTGTGGTTTTTTTTATTTTTTTTTATTTCCATTTAGCATTTTGGATTATTCAATTATTATTGTATTTCCTGATAAAAGCCAAAAATGTACAGGTAGGGTGAGTGGGAGGTGAGGGGAGAATAATATAAAACATTTGCATTTCTTCATATCAGTTACGGATACAAGAATTCAGGCTCACTACGCCTGTTTTGCATAGTCTAAATCCCCCTCAACACTTCGCCTGTGTGGAGAAAGTTGACCCGGAAAGAGATAGGAGTGGGATATTTTTAGAGTTCTGAAGAAAATGAGGTAGTAAAGACACTAGAGAAAGAGTCGAGGGAGATGTGCTCACACAAATTTGCATTATGCTACTAGTGTGAGAAGTACAATTCCTTAAACCGTCTATTTTGCTGTGCAGCATAAAAAAAGTAATTACACCAGCAGTCAACATCTATTCCAGAGATCTGCCCCTAATTACACCTCATCACTCATTTAGATAAAGTGCTTACTAATGCATCATGATTGCTGCAGTGCACAGAGGACGAGCGGATGAAAGGAAGTGGGCAGGACTCCCTCTCAGATTTGGGGAGTGGGTGTTGAAGGAGGTGAGGAGCTGTGTGAGAAGTTGCGATGAAGAGAGCAGGAAGAGGAGGAGATGTCTGACAGTGGGAGGTTGAAGGAGAGGGCTCAGGCTGCCAAATTGGATCCCTAAGGCTTTGGAAATCTGCTTGTACACAAAAACACACGCACAGGCAGACAGGACACGCAGGGAGTGAATGAAAAGTTTGACTGTGAGGGAAGGAGAGGAGAAAGTCACCCCGCGCTGCTCCGCTTGCAGCGCTGCCTCAGTCAACAAGGGGTTAATGCCCTCTGGAGGCCTCTGTGCTGCTCTGCTCCATTATCCAGAAATGGGCGAATCCATCAGATCCAATTACATAAAGCACACTGAAATTTCAACCCCTGTTTCTATGGAAACCAATGTGAGTCATTCTGCACAAAAAGCATGCCAAGCGTTAAATATAGCTGTACGTGTGATGTGTCATTGTCAAATGGACGGGGCATGTGAACAGTTGTGTAACAGCTGCATTTGGCATAATGTGCTCTACTGGGGATGATTGAATAATAAAGCATCTATGCATTATATATGAAGTGCATCGTGGGTAATTTTCATTTTAGCGACACACACAGTGTAGAGGTGCAAACTCTGCATTTGCTATGTTGTGGTTCTTAAAGGTCCATCTTGACTCGAGTTGACGAGGGTCGTTCACCAAAAATCTGTATTACCAACACCAACTCATGCACGTCATAATAGAAATGCATTGGTTGTTTAACAGATGATGGAACTGTTGTCGTGTGACCTTAAAGGGATATTCCAGCGTTAAATTAATTTAGGGTCAAACACACCGTAACACGAGTTAGACACCCCCTTGAGAGATGAATGTTGCCGACCACTTGCTTCTCTAGTTATACCAACTTTAGTAACAACTGCAGGATACCAATACACAGTGGTCTGAAGAGCCATAAACAAACCTCAACCAAAGAGCCACTCTATAGCCACAAATAATGCTCAGAACAGCACCTAACTTCATCAACTGCGGGGTGATGCAGCTCAGGTAGAACATTTATGATCATTCCTTCTTGATTTGGTGTTACGATGTGTTTGACCTTAAATTAATTTTATGCCGGAATATCCCTTTAATATGGAGTTTTGGTCATACCAGATATTAAACTGACGTTTTGTTCTGGCCTTTAACGCTCCTTTAACACATTACGTGATTTTCAGACCCTAGACTGTGTGAAAACATGAACAGCACAGCAGAATCCTTAAAGTGAAGCCAAAATATGAAGAGCTCCCTCTGGTGACTGGCTGCTAGGAATGGGAATTGATAAGATTTTATTGCTATTAATGCCATTGTTGCTGATTGATCATTATTGATGAGTTTATCCCCAAAGAAGGTGAAGTCTCATCAGTCATTTGAAAATGGTTTGTTTTTGTGATGTCAGACCTCAAACAAACCACTGTGTTTAGAGTCACGTCTTTGATCGGTGACACTTTACTGTGCCATCATTTATAACCCAAATAATGACTTTTCTATCACAGCTTTGGAACGTCAAGGATGGCACTCTGCTGAGTATTTATTCACGGGATGGTAAAGACGCCATGGACTCACTGCACGGGGGCTGGGTGACGGATCTGCACTTCTCCCTGGACAACTCTCTGCTGGTCTCGACTGGAGGCTACATTAAGGTATGCCTTACATTTACATTCAAAATGGTGCCTTAGAGTCTGTGCTGGTTGGTCTGGACTCACGCAGAAAAAGACAGTTAGGCTGGTAGAAACAAAAAGATTCCAGAGACATCTTCTTATTTTTATACTGTGTTATGTTTGGCACTAAAATAGTGGAAGATGACAGAAATAAAGGAGTAAAAATAGGCAAAAACTGTCATCAGCTGCTCTATGGTTGCTGCAAAATTCAAAACTGCAGGGATGATTCTTAAGGTGTCCTGAGCTTTTGTGACAGAGTAAATAAATGGAAAGTTCCCAGAAATGTTGGAAATGGTTATTTTCTTATATTGGATGTATTGGATTGGAATGTATACATCATGGATGCTTCACACAAGGTAGCATTTGTTCCTATGTCTGCTGGCAGAATAAGGGCTCGTGAAGATTGAATGACGAAGTTCAAGTAGTGATGACCTCTCAGACCTCCGTTTTTATCTTGCAGTAGCTTCAATACAGACTCAGGTAGATGACCCTGAATGCACCGTTGCTTCTATCTACCCACGCTAAAACTCAAGTGTTTGTTCTATCCATATGAAATAACTTTTGCAAAGTATTTCAGCACGGTTCCTCCATCCTGAATGAGACTTTTTATTTAATGATATTCATGAGTGTGACAATGATACACAAACGCCCTGATTCTACACTGTTGTTACATTAACAGGACGAGCTCTGCAGTGGTGCAGGTTTACATAAAAACACTCAATACCTGAGAGAATGAGATCAGTGCCTCCTTGTGACGTGACTAGAATAATGCGTGTGTCTGTGTGTGTGTGCGTCTTTCTTATTGCCTTTACTTTTACAAGACATGGGGTCACAGAGCGGGCAGTCTGTGCTGCGCTCTGATTGGCTATTTGGGAGGCAATGATGTAATCCTCCAGGGAGAGCAGTTCTGATCGATGAGGCTTTATATCTCAGATTACTCCTGATACTGTGCGAGTGTGTGTAGTTGTGATGTGAGCGTGATTGTGTGCGCGCGCCTTTGTGTATACCTTCCTGTGTGGGCCGACAGAGATGCTCCTGTGCTTGCTGCTGTTCAGACCTTTTTTAAAGACAGATGGCCAAAAACACAGCATCATCATCTTGTTTTCAGCAGTTTTCTGTCCGCAAGATCGTCCAACCTGGACATGAGCTCAAACATCATAATGAGAGCCACAGATCTAACTCTGTAACTCAATACTGATTGTTTCATATGATTAATCAGAAAAGGAGATTTTCATGAAACTCCTTGCTGTTAGAAGCCATAATTAGACCTCTATGTCCGCTCAGCGCGGACAGTTTAATGGTGAGAATAAAAGTGCTCATTGGGCTATTAAAAAGACAGATGAGGTGCTAAAATGAAAGCCAGACACAGAAGCATGACGTCATGTGTGCAGAGAGAATTAAAGGTTTAATCAATACCAAAGCCAAAAGCTGCTGATGGCGGCGGCGCTGTATTGGCCTGAATATTAGACGAACCTGATCATATCGCAATTTCTCCTTTTTAAGACTTAAAGGCGGGGTAGGCAGGAATCTGTTAAAGAAGCATCTTTTTTTTGTGGTGTATGTACAAAAAAGCTTTTATTATCAGTCAGTAGCTATTAGTTATTGATGACATTTGGGAATATTACAATATCGCTGTGTTTTGTTACCTCTGTGTAGTCAACATTTTAAATTCTTTGTGGCCCGCTCTTTCTGACTGTAAACTAAGCCATTCCCCACCTCCCCCATCCTGATTGGTTGTAAGGCAGACGCTGCTCCCCTGTGTCGTTCACGAGCCCAAACAAAATTAGCATGCTACAATATCGGACAGTAGAAACCAACCAGAAAGTACGGAAAATTGTCTGAATCCTCCTTTGGCCACAACTGCCAACACAAGCAAGAAAACAAAGTAAATACTGGAGACTCTGGCGGAGTAACGGGCGCTTAAAAAGGAGGTAGACTAGACAAGAACTAAGAAACCGGCCAACATCAGCATAAACGATGGGGGACACGTTGGGATCTTACGGACACTGTAAACTTTCTGCTGGACAGGTAAACCGCTTTAACAAAGTAAGCCAAGTGTCTTTAACAGAAGCACTTCTTGTGAAACGGGACCTGCTGCATGTTGTAGCGCTGCTAAACTGTTTACCTCGGGTCCTTAGAGTATGTCACTTCATCCTAGTTGTAGAAGTCCTGCAAACATTGTTTTTTGCTGGTAGTCTTTTGGCATCTACAGTAGCACCAATACTTTTACTTTCACGTTGACTGGGTCCCATTTGTAGTTATTTGAAGTATCTGAAGGGCCTCCAGGAAGAAAGAAAGAGGGGAGAGGAGGAGCTGAGGGGAAAACTGGTTGGAGGGTTAGTGTTTACATTCAAGATTTCTCCCAAAAACTTCCTCAGAGCCTGCCTACCCCACCTTTAATTTCTCAGAAAAAAAACATTTAATACCTTCAATATATCTCCTACTTTTTTGCTGGTCTCAAGCTGGCTTTATCGGGTCAGCTGATCACTGACACACCCTCTGATTGGTCAACTCACCAAAACAAAATGAACAAGATCATTCTAATTTTAGTATGTGATATGGTGATATTATTGTTGTTGCTGTGTATGGTGATTCAGTAAACATTCAGCAAGTGGTTAAAGTATCTTTGCTGATCCATTGATTTGCATTCGTGTTTACTGTTTTCTAATAATTTTTCAAGTTTTACCCTTTAAAGGTGATCAAAGGGAAACTGTTTACTGCTAAACCCATCTGTTTTCTTATCTGAGCTTCTACATACAGCTCTCCTTAATGAAGTGCTCATCAGCTGGTTTCATTTCCTGTTACATCATTATGACACTCATAATTACACCGGTAGCAGACGAGCAGATCACTCTATTACTCTGCTGCATGGATTTTTTTCTCCCCCCCCGTCGGACAGACATGTTGATTTGATGGATCAGCGAGTAGATATGAGGAGCTGTGATGGATCATTAAGCCAGTCTTAAAGGGTGACCCCCTCCTGAGACGAGAGCTTTGATTGATTAATTGTACTGTGTGTCAGCCGGACAGCTCTGAGAGGCCGTTGTGTCTGTTACTGTAATTACCTCGACAGAGAGAGTACATCTTATGATAGATGACACGGACTGAGAGTGAGAGGGCATGATAATAATCTGTCTATTTTAACAGCTATTGGAAAAACATGTCAACATGCTAGTGAGGAAATTGATACTTTAACACTCTCTGATACTCTGGCAGTGTCACTTCTTTTAGAGATGAAGGAGTGTGAATGTAAATATGAAGCATATGAGTGTGGCTAAATTCAGTGTTTACACACATCTATAAATGAAAGGACATCATGGAGTTTTAAGAAGATTTTTCTGTCAGTCTTGGAAAAAGTCTTGGCAATCGTCTGGATGTCCTCAGAGCGGTATTTGGTTTGTATTCATCCTCAGCTGGCGTAACTGGAGAATTTCATTATGAGGGATCAGTGGGATTGTATTAAATGTGCATTTGGATCATAGATGAAGACTGATTGTTATTAAAGTTTGGCTTGAATGCCTGAAGCTCTCTGAATGAGAGCTTCTCTGTGTTATACAAACTTCTGATTATCTTTTATTATGAAAGTACAGATGTCGTAACTTAATTTAAAAAATGACAAATCATATAAAGTATTTTTATTTTTTACCAATTTAATTTTTAATACCATACTTTTTTGTCCAATTTTTTACATAGTTTTTTCAATTTTTTTAAAAAGTTTTTTAAGTCGCAGTGTTTCCAATATTAGCACTTCTTCCTCCACTTCTTCTCCCGCTGCATCAAAAGAAAGTTCGCATATAGCAGGTGAGGACAGTTGAGTGTCCAGAGTCTACAGAGTTGATGGAACAAAAGGGAGCATAAGCATCGCGCCTGTTTGATGAAAAAGCCAAAAGTCTGAATCTGGGCTAAAGATTTTTGTGTCTGTCTTATGTGAAGAGTCGACATTTTTTATGTGTGTTTGGTTTGTTACAGATCTTCTGTGTAAAATATAGATGATTTTATGGATTTATGGAAAATATGTGTGGTTACATTAGATGGAGGATTAAAACCTATGTTTAACAACGTGTGAGTTCAGGCAAGCCGCAAACTCAGATTTAGCCCACCCACAGCCCATCAGCTGATCTTATCACCTGCTTGGGGTTCTTTGCTTTAGATTGCAAATAATAATTCTCTTAGTGAAATGGACCTAGCTGAACTTTATTAGACCACATAAAAAAACTGTGTGATCTTATAAAGATCCAAAAGCACTCCCTAAAGCTTTAAACTTTTAGGAAATCAAAATGTAAGAATGGCAAACCCTTTTTTGTGAAAACCAGCAACATAACCCCGTGTCCTAACAACATTGCATTTGCCAAATTTGCAATTCTGTTATGTCATGCCAGTGATATTATAAGTGAAGGCGTAACACTAATATCTACATTTTGTAAAACAAGCTGACAAGCTCAAGTTAGCAGAGTGTCATTGATATGTAAACATGTTTTTTTAACCACTACAAAGAATTCTTTATTAATGTTAATCTTGAGACATTAAAATCGTTCCTTTCTTCAAGAACTGATCATTCAGACAGCCTACTTAAATCTTTATCTCTATCTCTGTAGCTGTGTGAATGCTGAGACAGTATTCTTGGAGGAGAACTGTTGAGAAATAAAGACAAGCAGAGCAGTAAAGGCATGTTTGTGTAAAGTGAGCCAGTGGAGGTTTTTCAGTCATCGGATCCTCTGTGATCCGCTGCTCTAAACATTAGAAGCTTTTCAGCCGAACATCTCAGTCTGCTGCTCCTCCTGCTGCCGAACTCGATGATGATGATGACGTTATTGGTTGGAGACTGGAAGACGAGACAGCGGGTGATTTTCCCCCCATGGTCCCCTCTCAGTTGATGGGTTGATAAGATGCAGTCTGTTGCCTGAGGGGTCTTGTTTTCTTGTTTGTCCCTTTAGTTTATGTCAGCACTCCTGCTCTAATCACCTCTCAAGCCCTGTAGTTCCTCTCCAGTTCATCCTCTCATTTCCTGTCTGTATGCTTGGATGAATGTTGTCAGCGTAATTAAAAGCAGCAGGTAATTGTGAGGATTAATAAGTGCTTGTCCAAGCCCCTAGTGTGTGTAGCTACCTGTGCAGAGTGTTTAATTAAACCTTTTGTATTCCTCTTTCATTTTAACTGATAAAAACCACAACATATGGACTTGTATTTGTGCATAAGGTTGTAAAATTCAAGCTAATGTGCCAAGAGGCAGATGTGTGTGTGTTTCTGCGAGTGTGTGTGTGTCAGGTTTTGATGAAGTGGCGCAGCTCAGCTCCCCCAGAGTGCGCCTGTTACATTCTGCACTGACTCCCATCAGTCCTCCCTCCCACTGCTCCGGGTCCTGCCAGAAAACGCTGTACCTGTCTCACACCTGGCCTTGATACTCACACATGCCACACAAAGGGGGCACAAACACACACACACCCCAACATACCGGTGACACACTCTGTCACAGAGCCATGATCCAAGAGGGAGGCGGCAGGTGTGAAAAGGCTCATTCTGACTGCACAAGCGCACGCTAACGCCCAGCGGCCCTGAATAATTCACACCGAGGCGTCATGTCGCAGACAAAACAGCAAAAGTTGTTTTCCTTATTACCGACTCGTCTTTGTTATCGGAACTATTTTTAAGTTGTCAAGAGTAACTCATATTCAGACGGGTATTTACCGTGGAGTAAAAACATGAAAGGCTTGTCCTCATTTCCTCCTAATCAATGTCTTTGGGTGCTCTGGAGCTTTGTTAGATTTACTGATTGAGCTGTCAAAAAAGCCCGACTGAGGTAGCTGTTACAGTCTGTTTATCCGCCTATATCCCTTTGATTTATTCACCGATGGGTCCATCATACTGCTCTTAATCCTGGAGAAAAGGGGTCATTATTTGCAAGAATTTGAAGCTAAATTCTTGTGAGAACAGTGTGAGAATATCTTGTTAAGTTATTGTTTTACAACCATGATCTATAGCAGGTACAGGATGCTGTACAACAAGCAGCAGTTAAAGGGGGTTATTATGTAGCCATGTTAAAAAACTTGATTCTGATTGGTTATAAAAAACATTTCAAGGTCTGCTCGTTCTCAGTAGCAGATTATTATCCAAAAACAGACTTACCTCAAATCACATACTCTGGAGGACTAACTGTGATCATGTCAATCCGCAGCAAGTAGTCCAGTTAATTTGATGAGAGTCCATTTACTGAAGGAGGAAAACAGAGACAAACTCAGCAGGAAAAAACCAAGAGAGGTTATTAGGAAATCGCAGGTAATGGCAGAGGATTCTACAAAACTGGAGATGGCATATGAAGTGGACAATAAATAGAACATGGTGTGAGGTGTGGAGCTGCTAAAAGACCGATAAATGAAAATGAAAATGTCACAGAGCATTGCTCCATTTTTGATTTGTAAGAGAGCTACCATTGTAAAACCTGGGCTTTAAACTTAAGGCCTGTTTCCACAAGTAGCATTCAAGTCTCCAGTCAGTTTCACTTCTCTATCGCCTAAACTAAGACGGGTGATTTTCCTAATATCAACTTTCAGCAACAATAGTGGAGGTCTGTAGGACGGAGGACCTAACCACATTCATTTTTCATTCACTTTCTGGGTGTAAAGCTGCTGCTGCGCTACAATTTCTATCAAGTATATCTGTGTTATTAAATTTTCATTGAACAAAAGCATCAAGAGGATTTTGACCTTGTTTAATAAAGGTTTATTGATGATAAAAAAAAAAAAAAAACATTTAATTTGATTTGATAACCACAACTAAAGGAGATGGAAATAAGATGTGCTCTGTTGTGGACTCTGCCCTCACAAAAAATGCGGTTAGTGGAAACAGGCCCTTAGCATGTCCAATCGTTCACATGTTAACTTGGAACAAGACTGCAGCTCCACTGTTGTTTCTTTTCTTATTTTATTTTTCCCTCTTTTTCGCTCTAACTCTCATGTCATGTTCACACACTGACATTTACACACACACACACACACACACACATGTTATCAAAGAGTGTACCCCCAGATGGATGGGAGTGTTGTATACGACTGTCGTCCCCTGCCACCGGCATTGTCAGACATCACTTATCAGGCCGGCCCCTGATGGAAGAGAAAGAGAGGAACACAATTTCACCTTATCTCACCTCTTTGGACTCCCCCTCTCTTTTCTTCTCGGCTTTTCTATCACCTGTGTTTTTTCACCCTAGACCACGGACCTGTCCCCCCCTCTGTTGCTATCTCTCTGTTTCACACCTTCGTTTATTTTTGGCAGCTTTTCTCCCTGCTGTCATTTCTCTTGTAGATACCAGTGCCTCTTTCTAAAACCCCTCCTTCTGAACCTTTCCTCTCTGCGCTTATGTACCTACTGAGATTCTGCTCTTATGATAAAGCTCTCCTTTTACAGTAGGTTAGATTACAGCAGTTTCAGACTACCGTACTTGGGGCTGCTTTCACCCATAAGGTCTTGGTCTGTTTCCTTCCCTGCTCCCTCAGTCCGAGTTATCATCGTTATGCGCGTCCTAACGAGGCCTCAGCCACTAATGAACAGTTACAACCGGTCATCAGGCTCAAACCGGAGCGAGAAAAGGAGGAATGGGGAGATGTGATGAAATGAAGGAGTGAAGGTTGCTCTGACCTTCCCTCTGGAGACATTTGATGGACAGAGAATCTGTCAACGATTAAAAAAACAGTTGTGTAGCAGTGAGAAGCGAGGGACCGAGGGAGGACAGGGTGGAAAGAAAAGCAATCACCTCTCTAAGGGATTGACGGGGTATCAAGCAAGTCAAGATTCTCGTATAATTAGATCGACTAAGCCATAAGTAAATGTGTCTCCATTTTCCCCTCGCTGGCAGAGACCTCAGTGATTCCTCTCAAGGCCAAATATCCCTGAGTCCATCATTCGTCATTCTTGGGCCAGGCTTACATTCGCCTCCCGCTGCTTTTATCTGAAGACTGTTTTCGTATTTTAGATGCCACGAACTTGACTACAGTTGGGGAAAAAAAGAAAACAACAGTGGAAGAAATGTGTGTTATTTTGGTAACAAAGTATCACAGATATGTCAGAACAAAGAGCACTGAAGTACATCAGCTTGTTATAATTAGCTGCTTTTCTAAGTGTGTCAGCTAAAGTTCAGGAAAAGTCTGCTTCAAGAAACAAAACTGAATTGCTAATAACCCAAACAACCCAGTATACTTTTCAGGTGTCAGATTTAACATGCTTTTTTTTTTGTAACATGGACTGCTACTTGGAAATCTAGGACCCTGCCTTCTTCACACATCATTTTAGATTTATCACTTAATCCATTTGTGTTTGTAAAAATGCAAGAAAAACAGAAGTAGAGCCTGGTTTATACAGGATTTTAGTGACCCATAAACAGAATACAGTAACTGAAAGGGGGAGGATCATACATTTTTTCAGACTCTATATTTCCTTTCTTACAAAAGAGGATTAGGACCACAGAATTTTGTGAATTAAATCGAAATTCAGAGATTAAAGTCGAAATTATGAAATTAAAGTCGACACAAATAAAGACGAAATTATGTGAATAAAGTCGTAAAATTGAGATTAATGATAATAAATCATCAGCATTGTCGCTTGTCACTCGACAACACGTCCTCTGTAGAATTGGATTCAGTAATTAGGAAATCCTTGCTCTTTAGCACACAAACACAGTCTGGTCATAAGTATTTGGACTCTGAAAACACTGTGCCAAAGATTATGATGCAGATGCAGGGTTATTGATGGTTACACGTGCGTGCTATACAGCGAGGCTATAGTGTTTTGCAAGATGCAATAAGACAATTGATCAATTTGATTGATAGCCTTACGACTGTATTCATGACATTTCATCTTTATTGACGTCAACTTTAATCTTGAAATTCTGATTTATTCACAAAATTTTGTCTTTATTCATGTCGACTTTATTCTCGAAATTTAGACTTTAATCTCGTCCCTGTATTTTTTTTTCTCTTCATGTGGCCCTTGTCCTCTTCCGTAGATTCATCTTTAGTAGCTTTACAGGATTTTCAGATAAAAAAAAGACTTAAATTTCTCACAGTGGTGTATTAAAATGTCATTATTTCAGCCTCCGTGTGAAACGCTTTTGCACATCAATGACGTTCTGGCATTTTCGTTTAAGTTTTGAGCAGTTTGCATCTATTTTTTAATATTAAGACAAAATACGTTTACTTGAGATTTAAAACTTTGCATACATGTAGTATGGACGCGGAACGTTGTAACTTTGCAGTTTTTGTTGTAAATGTGGAAAAGCATGATATCCACCCTTGAAGTTTTTTTCAATGTAGACATGAAGCTTGATGAAATTTTAGGCGTTCTTGTGCACTTAAGATATAAATATATATGTACATACACATCTTTATAAACAATTTGACTCTGCAGGGAAATAAAATTTCTTAAATCCTCTAAATATCTGTGTCCAAAAATAAATGTGTTTACAAGCTCAAATGTCAAAGTTATACGGTTTGCAGTTGAGCTGTAGGGTAGACTGTGTTTATCCAGCAAGAACAAAATAGCTCTTTAGATATCGGCCTGTTTGTTTAAGAAGAACTTAAACAGCAAAACAGGAACTGCACATATAAAGAGTTTTATTAGCAATCATTTGTGAGCTCAAAATGTCTCCATTTACATATGCACTGAAGGTCTTTCATTTCTTTCCCTGAAACCATCTGTCAAAACACTGGTTCGAGCTTTTACTTTGACACTTTCACATTCAGGCTGCAGCGGTTAAAGGAGATGAAGGCAGGCTTTTAAAGCAGACCAGCTGTATAAGTGACAGATTTTCTGAGTGGAGTGGACGCTGCACAGTTCACCTTTTCACTGCTGTGTCACAGTTTTACAGCATGGCTGACTTTGAGGAGCGTTTACACTGGATTTTTTATGCCGCTGGGTCTGAGTGTTAGTGTTAGTGTTAGTACAGGACAGGCCTGCAGCAGAGATTTGACACGTGTCTGGTGCTTTTGCAGAAGAAGATGTTCTGCTCTTTGCTGTTTATTTCCTCTCACATTATACTTTTGTCTATTAATATCTAACTGTTTTGATCACTGTGTCAGTCTTTGTAGGAACTGAGGCATAAGCTGACTCCTTTGTTTTCTCTTTTTGTTGTTCTTTTAGTGTTTCAGCATCGCCTTACAGCAAACTTTGAAGACATTTTTTCCTTCTTTTGTGCAACAATATACATAACAAAGAAGACCATCCTCTTTGATATTACTCCTGCTCTCTGTTGGCTAACAGGCCACTTGCACCCCTCGGCTTCTACTTTCATTTTTGCAGCCAAGCCTCCTTTAAAATTGGTCCGGAGACAGAAATAACACGTTTTGATGACTGCTGGATGTCTTTGTAAATGAGACAGCGTAGCAGGCCACAGCGTCTGGGCTCAAGCAGCGTTTGCAGTTCAGATTTTACTCAACACTTTCCTTCTAACATGCTGTTTCAGAAGTGAGCACCCTGTGGTGCTGCTGCCTCTAAAAATACCTACAAATGCTCATAAGATGCAGAACAGCGCCTTAAAGCACACTTACCTTGTTTCAAAATCCATTCTTCCATCTATTGTCATTGTTTCCCCGTCTTTTCTTACTCCAAATACTTAAAAAAGCATAATTCAACATGCACACTTTCTTTTCCTGTAATCAAAATGCATCCAGAGGAGTTTATGCTCCATACGATCCTCGACAGTCTGCTTTCATCCACAGCCATTCACTCCCACATGAGACAAAGCCAAGAACTTTGAAAAAGTTGAGCTCAGAAACGGCCGTGGCCTGGTTTCTGTGCTCTTGTTGTCAGGCTCGGGGTATAAACACAGGCTGGTGAAATATTTATCGGTCTCTGGGAGGCAGTTGTTTCCCCAGTGTTGCTCATTAAGCTGGGGTTAATTGTCTCTCTGGCTGGCGAAGGAGGGCCTCTGTGTGAAGAATCACACCGAGATGAAATGTGGCAGAGTTGAGATGGAAAATCAGTAATGGAGGGCGAGGGAATTGGTGATTGTGTACATGTCTTAAATACACACACCTAGACACACTCACTCTGAATTTTCCAATCTTCTTTTGTGTCTTTTCTCCTGGATTAACAGACTGCAATAAACTTTCTGTCCTTTTCTGCCTCTTTTTATCTTGTTCTGTCTCTGGAGCTGGTTTTACTAATGCCCTCTAACTTCACAGTCTCCAAAACTCGATCTATTTAAAGGAATATTACGAATAAATACACTCTTACTTAATACACCCACATTTCATTTACATCTAAAGTGAATGATTTAACAATGTTTGCTTTCTTTTGGAAATTTCCTGAAAAAACCCCCACAAAATTATACTATTAATTCATATATTAGTCAAACCTTTGTGCAGGTAACGAGAAGCCCCTCTGACTGACACAGACGGTGCCTAAACGGCTTCAAACTTTACATTTAAGACCCCCGTCTGTTATTTTTTTCATCTCTCAAAGTTCCCAAAGTCAGTAAGAGACAAGAAGTCTTGCTTTTGTCTCTTCTGTTGCTCCCGCCCCTGATGTAGAAGGGCCGAGTCTCAAGTCCCCGAGTGTTAAAGTGTGAGTCAAGTCTGAGTCCCTGATTTTTGGTTATGTAGATAACATATTTTTATGAATCAACATTAGATTCTGGCTGATCCTGTTAGCACATCTGTTGATTTAAAGCTCCTATAAGGAACTTTCTGGTTGAGTTGGGCCACAGCTCTCCTCAGGCGATGCACTCATTGATTCTGCTGCTCGCGGCTCACCACAGGGATCAAATAACCTCAAACGGAGCTCAACTATCAATCAGAATTTTTATGAACCAAACATCCAAACATATCTGAGCAGGGGTCAAGCTGAGCCAGAGGCCTGCCTTACTCTTAGCTTGTAGCATGCGAACAGCGATAGTTTCAACTGTCCAAGAGTGCTAACCTTTTTGTTTGTTTGTTTTGCGTTTCTGTTTTTTATGCCTTTATTCTGAAAGGATGGGGAAGTGGATGGAGCAGAACATATACCAGTGCTCGCTCAACATTACATAAATTACTAGGGCTTCGTCATGGATAGAAAAACATAAAATAGTCACAATAACAAAGTCCAAGCCCTCCTCTTTTTTTTGGCTGAATACATTTAGTGTGCAGGTTTGAATTCAAGTCCAAGTCAAGTCTTAAAAATCTGGCCCTGAAGATCTCCCTCTGATGTTTCTTTCTCTACAATAGTACCTTCATCTCTCTCAAAGGTTTTCTTTATAGATCTGTGTATCCTTTTCTCTCAGTGCTATAACAACCTCTTTAATTCAAACCTGTTATACCTCTGTGTGTACCCTCTTCTCCTTGCTCCCTAATAAATTCTCATTTCTGATTTCTTTCTTGCTTTATTTCCCTCTTTCGGTCCCTCGGTTTGTAGGAAAAAGAAAACAGGTGAGAGAAACTCGGAAAAGACAGGAAAAAAGGGAAGAAAAGGAAGGCAGAGTGTGAGGGAGAGATGTGTCGAGGATTTTCTGAGCATCAATATTTCAGCGGCTGGAACCTTGGATAAATAATTCAGCCTTGGTGTCACGCTGTTTCCCCCCCTCTGTGAGACTCTTGGCCTGGTCACACACATACACAAATCCCACACTTTTCCCTCAGATTTGGTCTTACAAAGTCATGTGTATCTGCTCCACCTGCTGTCTCCTTCACCTTGATCCTCTCCCCCTCTGTTGTGTGCTGCATTTTTATATATATCAAGTATTTTATGCACATAAACAGCTTCTATTCCCTTTGGGCTTTGCTTTAGATCTATTAATGTAAGAAGAAGATGAATTACTTCCCCTGCACAATTTCTCAAAGACATACGGTAACGCTTGAAGCATCATTACAGTCCTAACAAGAACACACACTGACAGGTATTCCTGCTATAGAAAGGCTGCTGCCTCTCCCTCTGTTAGCCTGATTAAGCAGACCTATTTAGCCTCAGGAGAGCTAACGGTGAGTTTCTACTGCAGCAGATTTGATGTTCATCTTCTCTTGGCTAGAATGAGTCAGAGTTACTTTCAGTCTCATCACACCCTGAAGTGCTGCTGACTGGCATGTAAGAGAGCATGACACTGATATGAGGCTTATCAGAGTGTGCAGGATGGTGTGGCCGTAAAGATAAGGGTCCAGTGACCCCTTTTGTTTTCTGGCATCACGGCTCCGCCAAAGCAGATGGACATTCCCGCTCTCTTTCCCCTGACTGAGTCAAAGCTCTTTTCTCCAAATAAATACCTTTGTGCTTTCAAAGCTGGTTGGATGTATTTGCTCTTCACAAACACATGAATGTGCAGTGATGTGTGTGAATGTGCTAAAACGAACAGACAGTAGCTGCGTTTACACGGGCACGAATAACGGGAAAAAAGGCCAATCTCAGTAAAATGCATCATGAAAACATTTTGATCTGAAGATTCTGATCCAATCAGCTCAATCGGAAAGAAATTGTATTGCGATTGAAAGGGGTGGTTTGTGCCGATCGTTTGTCCGAAATGCGTCCATGTAAATACTTATTCCGATCGTGACTCTCTTACCTGACTCGATCTTCACTCTTTAGCCTTTAGCTTATTTATTGAGGCCAGTACAGAAGGTTTCATTATTAACACCCTGACATAAAACACAACCATAAGTACTGTGTCTGCTGCTCTACTAACATAACAAGGTGTACTTACAGTGTAATGATGTCACATCTGTACGTACAGTGCAACCTTTGACAGAACAGTTAAAATAAGTGAGCAAAGGTGCCATCTAGTCACAACATTTAACAGGAGGGAACATCCTGAACAGGACAGAGTGAGCCACTACCGTGTTTGTTGGTTTGTTGACAGCACAGGCGTAAATGCAACTCTTCTTCTGCGGTTGTTTTAGCGAAATCAGACAACTCTGCGCGTGTCCAAATGCTTCTAATCTGAATAAAGCTTGGTGCATGTATACGCACGTCATGATCGGCTTATTTGATTTTGCACCCATATAAACAGTGGATTCAGATTATCCGATCCCTCAATTTTTTATCGGATCAAGAAATTTTGCACATGTAAACATGGCTACTGATATTTTGGTGAATGGTGAACTGAGCGACTCATTTTGCAACTCATGAACAATAACAGGAGCGTAGCTAAAGTCAGGGTAGTCTAAATTCTGGAATGATGCAATAGGTTTGAGAGATGTCAAGTGTGTGACGGCAGTCAAAGTCACATTTACAACACCTGACAGCTCCAAATTTAAAAACATGAACCATGTGAACTAGTTCAATTTAATCTGTGTGAACGAGACTTTGAGCACACTTTCAGTGTGACCTTGTAAAGTCGTGTGTGTGTATACTCACTGGCAACTTTATAAAGTACACTGGTACAACCGCTCATTAACACAAACATCTAATTAGTGAATCACTCGGGAGCATGTTGGCAAGTAGACAAGGTCAAGGAGATGAGGTGAAGTTCTAACTGAGCACCATAACAGAGAGGGAAGGTGATGGTAATTGGTGCCGGACAGTCTTATCGGAGTCTTTCAGACGCTGTTAATCTGCTGGGATTTGAATTTTACGTACAGCCATCCCTCGACCAAGCTTTGCAGGAGAGAATCTCCGAACCCAAAATGTGTTCAACCTTGAAGCAGATGGGCTACAGCCTCTGAGACCCTGCTGGGCGCCACTTCTGTCAGCTAAAAAACAGGAAACGAGGGCTACAAGTTGCTCGGACTCAACAAAATTGTACAAAAGAAATTGGAAAGAAGTCTCCTTGTCTCATGAGTCTTAATTTCTGCAGCATCATTCAGATGGTTAGATCAGAATTTGGCGTTAACAACTTGAAATCATGAATCCATCCTGCCTGGTATTAGTGAATCAGGCTGTTATAATGGTGAGGGTGATTTTTTCTTTTCATACTTTCAGCTTCTTAGTACCACTCAGACATCACTGAAGCAACAAAACTTACCTGTTATGTTGTTGATCATGTTGTTGATCTACCTACCCCTTTATATAAACAGTATACCCATCTCCTGCACCATGCCACAAAATTAAACCATCTCAAACGGGTTTCTTAATCAACAAAAACAAACATTATTTACACCCAAGAGCAAGTTAAGCAGAGTGAGGTCAGAGAGAGCGGTGACCTTTATGCAGCCTTGTCACATGACATGAAAACATGCCAGTTTCTTCTAATTTTGTGCGTTCTGTTTTCTTATTCCTCTGCAAAGCTAAAGGTCACTGGATGCCTTTAGACCACATAGATTTTTTTTTTTTTTCTCACATACAGTCTGAGTTTGAAATTTGACAACAGTACTTTTAATCCTGCATTCTTGTTGGCCTTGAACTTCACAGAACTGATCAAAAACCTCACATTTATGAAGCTGCCTTATTGTCTATGTGTTTACAGCCCTGTGTTATGTGATCTTTCTTTTTAGCATCAGGCTTCGTGTCGCTATTTTAGTCATTTCTATCTCTTTAATCTTTATGCCTGCTGGCTTTGTGTGTACTTTGAGATCTCTTGTTGATCGTTCCTTTGTGTGTTCTTTAAAAAAAATCTTATTTACATTATTTTTTTAATCATATCTTTAATGCATTTAGGTCTTATTGTGCCTTAAATTACATTATTGGAGTTTTCTTTTGTTCCTTGCTTAAGATTTTCTTTTCTGCACATCACACAATGAAAGAAAACTTTTATAATCAGAGAAAAACAAACATTTTTTTATATAAAGCTTAAACAATCATGCCTCTGAAAGCCAAAAGCAATCATTCTGCATTATTCCTTCATCCTGGTTCGAATTAAATATAGAGAACGCATAATGATAGAGACACACTCCAGATATAAAATGCAAATTATCGCCTTCACCCTTATATCAAAGTATGTTTTTATCATGCCTTTGCGTGTGTCCCTCTGTGTCTCATATCTTCCTTGCATTAGTATTCCCAAAACATGGAGCTGCGTGTTGTCATAACATTCCCAGCCACTTCTGAGTAAAAAACCGAGACAGTCACACATATACACGCGGTAAACACACCCGGGGGTATTGTCCTCCTAACAACTAGAGCCCAGAAACACACACACACACACACACACACACACATACACCCTGTATCATTATTAAACGTCTTATCGCATCACTAGCTTACTCATAAATCAGCGCTTCCTCAGTGGTGGTGTTGATATCAGCACATCTGCTCTTGGGATATATGCTGTTACACACACACACACATACACACACACAAATGCATATAAAAACACACAAGAGACCAAACCGTCATTGGAGGGGTCTTATCTCAGCTGCTGTTGTGATAAATATGTTTGGGTGTTTTCAGCATCTTTGTATCTGAATTTCTTTGCTGCTTCTTCTGTTCCTCTTTTATCTCTTTCTGCTCCCCTGTGCACACCTTTGTCATCGCCTTTTCTTTACCTTGTGTTTATCTTGAATCAAAGAGATCTCACTTCACTTTATAAAGAGGTATAAAAATGCACGCCATGTCGTCTAGTCCCATCCTTGCACTGTGGTAAAATATTCAGCATAGTGATTTTTCTCACTTTTCCCCGCCTTTCATAGTCAATCCACTCTCTCTGAAGCTAACATCATTTTTTACACGTTCAATCCACACGTCTCCCTCCGCCAACTGTCTTTTAAACATTTATCCTGCAACTGCTCTCCTCTCCACGCAGCTCTAATCCTTTTTTTATAACCAGTCGGAGTTTCGAACGTGTTTACCCCCTCTTCTGCTCGGTTTCGTCACGGAGTTTCATCACACGTCTGTTGCCGGCGTTTGTCATGGGATTCGGTTTTGTTGTTCTTCGACTCTTACTTGTTCTCTCTCTTCGCCTCAGTCTGTCTGTTCGGCTGTTTATTTCTGCCTTAATATGCGAGTGTGTGTGTGTGTTTATGTGTACAGGCAGCTCAGTGTTATTTCTTTGTTGGAGCTGTCAGTGTTTTGGCGGCCTGCAGCCATCTTCTCTTTTTATTCAGATGCAATTACTCGTAAACCAACTGTCTCCTTCCCTCCCCGGATATCTGCAGCCTGTGTCCTCGATCTACCTCCATCTCTCTGTCAATCTTACCTTTATCTTGTCCATCTTTCTCTATCTAACTACAGTGCCTTCAAAACAGTATTTGAGGAAATATGTTTTTTTAAATAGCGCTGTTTATTCTTGTTTCAAGCCCTTACTTTAGATGAAACCTTCTACGAAAGTTATTTTAGCACTTGCCTTGTCCTTGCTTATATTCGGATATATTATAATAAGCATAGATGTAGCCAATTGTTTCCGCCTCCAATTTTGCTTTTTTTCCGACTTGGTAACTGGAACACTGGTAACTCGGGTGTGACGTCATTCCCAGCTTGGACATCTGACTTCCAAGTTAACTCAAACGCAGCATCAGTGTCTAAGCTGTAGAGCAGCTCCTGACAGGCTAAAGCCACTGCTCTGGTTAATGGTTACTGACTTAATTTAAGACGACAGCATCTCATGGTGCAGCACAGTTTGACAGTATTTTGATCTAAAAATTGGAGATGGAGTTCCCTGTCTGCAATATGAGGTTAAAGCAGCATGTGCCACTCGACTTGAGTATTATATAACCAGCACAGGAGCGTGGCTGTTAGCCTGCAGAGGAGACTGAGGGCTGGTGGTGCTAACTCTGCTAACCGTAGACCCGGTACACACCAAAGATTTGGAAAGGCTCAGAAATTAGGGATGAACCGATCCGCTTTTTTCACCTCCGATACCGATATAGATGTAGGTACATATACATTTAGTATCGGCTGATACCGATCCAATTCCGATAGAGAAAAGCGGTGCTGAATTACCATTCGTTGTAAACTGAAGTTTTAGCACTGCCCTCGGAACGTTTACTGTGCAGGTATTGCAAGTGGCCGTCTTGCTTGTAGGCTGAAGTAGTGTGATAAAATTCAAGATAGCAGACCTCTTTGCTCGCTCCTTTTTGAAAACAATGTGGGCATCCGCTCAGCGCGTTTACTTGTGGATGCCACTCACAGCGCATAGCATAGAGTTAGACTGATTGATCGGCCCTTATGCATCGGGCCCGTTGTCACGATACCAGATCTAGAATTTTCTTCAGTATCTGGACCGATACCGATTGCAGATATGAGATTGGTGCATGCCTAACAGAGATCCTCCACATGACAGATTAAACAGTTTTGTTTCTACAGTGTGTGGTTTGCCACAGTGCGGCGGACAAAGCAAAGGGGAACATTGATATTTTACAACCTAGGCCCTGTACCCCTATGGTTTTGTGTGAGCTTCAATGATGAGGAGAACCATTTATGTCCACTACATTACAAGTGCGTTATTTACCACACACACACCAGGCTATAAGGTGCTGATCTTTGAGATGAACTACTTCCATATTCAACCCATTCTTTACAGTGTTTCTTTATGTTAAGCTGCTACAGACATATTTAGGGTGTATGTCAGCTTCCTGAGTCAAAATGCAAGATGCTGAAACCGTTACCACGAGCATAAATAATTATCAGTGCATGTGCGGCTGCTTTTCTGTTATTTGTTTATCAAAGCCATCATACAGTCCAGTCGTACACAGAGGGATCCTCTCAAATAAAAGGCAGAACACAGATTAATCATGTTTTCCCCAGCTGGGATTCAGTCTTTATGTTTATATTTATGAACATGAAATTAATTAGTCAGACTAAACGCCGGGTTCGTTCTCAGGTCATATGTGGCCTTGAGGGCTGCTGTTTATAGCACAGCATAGCTGACATTCAAGTAAACACCATGGCAACATAAAAAGATAAGCAGTGGGTTTATCAGCACAGACATAATGTTAAGCAATCTTTACATACATTAACTTTGATTTACTGCTGTCCTCTTCTGTTTTATAATAAGCATTTTAATTGGCACACTGTATGATATGTCTCCTTGTCTGACACTCAGGCACCTGCGAGAGAAGGACACATGTATGAAGAGGGAAAACATGGATTTACTTTACTTCTCAAAAAACCTGAAGTTGGAGGACATCAGATTTTTAGTGTTATAAAGTCATTTACAGATTTTTAGTGTTTTAATGTCATGTCTGGCATGCGCAAAGATGTCGAGAACAATAACTTAAAACGGGACCTGAATGCAGACCGGTGTACACAATTGACGAGTCAACAAAAGAGCACAGAGCATCTATCTACAAGGAGAAAAGTGTACATTATGTGCTTATGTGGTATTCTCTGGTAAAAGGTTAAGTGCTCAGAGAGGAAAACAGGGAAGACTTTGTCAGCGATGTTAAAAACAGGACAGGGAGGGCAGGGCCAGGATGGGATGGTATTTTTTTTTTTTTCAGCTACTTTTATAGGCAAACATTCCCTGAGGACCTGTACAGCTCGCATTATCTTCTTTTATCTCGAACCTCCATCAGGATAAGACTCGACCTGTTCTTTCTTCGTTTTCTCGTGAAGATAGTTTTGTCTTGTTTGGCAGATGTTTCATCTACCTGTAGTTTCAGGTTTGATTTTCCAGGCAGTTTCCTAAGAAAGGAGTAACCAAAACTTAATGAGAGGAAAGTGAAGAAACAAGCGAGCAGAGGCTGTTTGAAGTTTTCAGCTGGGTATGAAACAAAATGGGTATGCCTTTTTAAAACCTGCAAAAACATGCAGTACCATTAGCAAGATGACTGACTATGTCTGTACCCTCACTTTAAATGCTTTTAATGTGACTGTTCTTTAACAGCACCGCTGACAAACCAGTTTAGATGTCAACTGATATCCTGTATATTCACCGTCTGAATGGATGTCCCAGTTTTAAAGGGATGTTGCACAGAGTACGATATCAGAGAGCCATCTTGTCAGCACTCTTTTGAAGCAACAGGAGCAGAATATATTCTTGTTATGTAACAAATGCTTGAAAATAGTATTTTGTTTTAGGTCCAATTCATAATTTTTGCCATTGAATATTTCTGTTGACATCTCTCTCTCTTTAAACTAAGATCTCAGCGTTAAAGTAAAATCCAGTGTCTAATAGGCATTCTCGCCTGCGTGTGAATGTGTTCAATCATGGTTGCTGTGGAGGACGTCCAATCAGCAGGAAATTATCCAAACCCCCTGCGGCAACAGAAATATACTGGGCTAATATTCTGCACACATGCATGCACACATATACACACACATGCACGGTGTATTTATGGCATGGTCACATGACAAAAATGGGAAACATGAGGAAAATCTGCTGCATAGTAATCAGGGATATGCAAATGCCGGTTGCTGTTGAACGGTTTACATGATCGATGGTCTATTTATGTGTGTGTTTGCGTTGGGATTGTTCTGTAAGCTAGACATCTGTTGCCTCCCTGGTTTGCCTGTCTGTCAAGGGACTGAGGAGTTGGCCCGCTTCTTTCAGCACACACACACACACTTCGAGCCCCATTAAAGCCTTGCAGCAAAGACACACCACGCCAATAAAGCTCAACCAAATAATTTAAGTTATGCTTTCCTGTCTTCAGATTTTGATGGTTAATTATCAAAGATACACACTCATGTCAGCCTGCTAATGATTGACTTGATGTTCCTTTGATGATTCATCCTACAGTGATGGATTTTGAATGGAAAATGTCAACTTTAAACCGAGATTAAACGGAATCACTCAGGAAAGCTGGTGGGGGGCTTTACATGTGTGTCTGTTTCTGTGCGATTGAGTACGCCCAAGGGTTTGTGTGTGTGTGTTTGCATATGAGCTTGCGTGGTAATATTCCCCATAAATTCTATCAGCTTGTTTGGCAGCAGATATAAAGCTCTCAGTCATTCTGCCTCCTCCCTTTACTCTCAAGCTAGGCTTCAAATAAAACTCGAAAACATGAGTTACACAATTATGTATCCAAAAATTAAATCAAGTTTGAAGCAAGCCACATTTGAGGTGGAAGGAAATCAAGGAATGAGTAATATTCAATAAAGAAAAAATTGATTTAATTCTGAAAAAATGGAGCAAAAATGCCCAAAACATGACTTAAAGCTCCAGTAAAGAACTTTCTGCTTGCATTGATTTTGGTCCCCCCTCTTTAACAGTGAAATTTATGGTACACAAACAAAGGCTGTCTTCAATGCATCGACCCTCTCACAACACAAAAAATCAAAAACTCCTCATAGTAGCTTTAATGTGCTTAAAGTTATAGTCAGTAATAGCTAAGCCTATCTTAACTTAATCTAGTGTCATTGGAAATGGAAATTATATAACAGCGTTCCTTGCTCTGAGTAAAGACAATAATTCCAACTACCACGTTGACAGGTGAATACTCAAAGAACTGCAGTTCCTCAACCGTCCACTAGAGGAACCCTCCATCAGCAGAGTTAATCATGCTTGCAGCTTAGTGAGGTTTTGCCCTCTTGCTTACCTTTTAGAGTATGTAAAACTCAGAGGTGGAGCATTTTAAAGCTGTTTGCCAGGTGGCTAAAAGTTCACTTCACATCTTTACTGGTTTCTAAATTAGCCTGTAGTTAGCTTGACGTAACATTTCCGATATGGCGACCACCAGCACTGGACTTTAAATGTTGATGTCACTGACACTTTTTCCTTGTTACACATTATGTTTGATATTTTTTGTCACTGATATTTTCAGGCCAAGAGACAGCCTCATACCCCAGTAAAAATAAAATCATGTTTTTGTTTCAATTTTTTCTTAATATTTATTCTATCAATTTTCTAGCTCTGGAATCTTTTTCTACAGAGTCTAAATAAATTACAACATTGTTGTTTGTTAAAAGTCTGAAGAATCAGTCTGTTTTTCTGTCTCTGTTTGCTGTCTAGTGGTGGGATGTGGAGAAAGGTGAAGCCCTGCAGACCTTCTATCCAACGGGAACTGCCCTGAAGAGAATCCACGTTTCACCTGACTTCTCCACCTTCGTCACCATCGACAACATCGGCATTCTCTACATCCTGAAGAGGGTAGACTGCTCCAGAGTCCAATAAGGAGGGATGACAAAATCAAACATGAGGGTTAACCTCTGTATGTTGGACTCTTGCAGAAGTTTTGACTAAAAGCTATAGAATCCCATCATCACATACTTCTCAACAGTCTCACAAGAGCCTTTACTTCTGCTCTGGTCGGGTTGCCTTTAACAGTTTGCACCAGCTTTAAATAAAAAAAAAAATCATTCAATCATTCTGTAGAGTAGATTCAAATACATGATTTTTCTAAGTAAAAACAGGGCAGAACCTCTTGTGAGGGAGAAAACAGCAAAAAAGGTACATCATAAAGCCATATATTTACTTGATAAAACTCCAGGTCTACTGAAGCACATCTTTGAATCATTTAAACCTGTGGAGGCTCAAATCAACAGGTTTGTGAGAATGAAATCTGTGCCACTTAAAATGTGAATAACTACTTTTACTCGATATTGCAATAGGGCCGAGTATAAATGCATGTGATCTGAGAGTTTACTCTCCATTGTTTGTGATGGATTTAAACTATTAACAGCATCTCTGCTGATCTCTTCGATGTCATAAAGTGCTTTTGATTTGTAGATGCAGTGATGCTCTTTGTCATATCTGTGTGCGGGTTAAATCTCCTGTGTCTGCTTTTAGGCCTTTTGATTGAAATCCTTTGTCTGAGTTGATACAGTACTTGTGTGCGTGCGTGCGTGCGTGCGTGTGTGTGTGTGTGTGTTTGGCACATAAGTCTCTCAGTCCACCAGCACGGATAGAACTTCTGCTGAACTTTGATCAGCATTAAGATTTAATGGTTGGATTAACATTTTAATGTTTGAGCCTTTAAACTTTTGAAAGCTTTTGGGTCAGTTTGTACATCTGGGCTCTTTCAACTTTTGAACGTAGTTTTTTTGTGACGTAAAATGCAGTATTTAATCTTTTTATAATCGAAGTTTCCACCCACCGGTCTTAAAAGGTACTGGATTTATTTGCAGTGAAATTTCTACATTTTGTACGACTTCTTCTAAACCACTTTTGACACACATTTGGACATGCATGTGGTCTAGCTATTGAGCCTTTTTCTATTCTGTGCACTTTACCGCAGGAGTTACAATCGTTTATGAGCTCTTCACTTTGTGCTCTTCCACGCCGGTGCTTTCAAGTCATAAGGAAATTCAATCAACAGATTGTCTCTGGTGAAGATATCTTTGTGTTAAAAAGTTTAATAAGGATGTGATCATACTGTGGTGTGCTGCAATGTGAGTATACTGTATCAGAGATTAAAAAATACAATGTAATAACAACTGGTGTCTGTCTGGATTTTTTTTTACCGTGAAAATTATGTCTGCATGACTTTAATTTCCCAAAATAGAGTTTTTCTGTTTATTGCATTTAGAAAACATAATTTTTATAAGAGGTCAAAAAATAGACACAGGTGGAGGTGGTAGATACAGAGTTCTTTTTGTAAATGACAATGATGATTACGATAATTTGATTATTATGCTTGTCTTACCAAAAGTCACAGCATAAAATCTGTTATAGACAAGCGCTACAATACAGTGGTTCTCAACTGGTCTCACTCTGGGACCCTCATTTTCCCATGGTCCTTAAGTCGTGACCCACTTTTATAGAATTCAAACAGAGCAAATTTATTTAAAAATTTTAAAGCACATGAAGGGGAAACCTTGAGGACGACAACTACTGAAGTTGCATATACAAGAAATATCAAATATCTAATAAATATCGCATTAAATAATTACCTTTTTGACCTGATATTCATGACCCATCTAGAAATCTAATACGGAAATCTAGAGGCACTCTGCTTTGGCTTGCCCAAAAGTAAACTATTGTGATTCCAACAAAAGCTCCGTCTCAAAGGTGTAAAGGCTGAGAACAACAACTGTCCGTTTTTAGTTTAACGGCAGGCAACCCAAATCAAGCAAAGTAACAAAATTCCATGAAAAACATATATAGCAAAATCAAAATGATTAACAAATTCCATTAACTTTAGGAGGACAGAAAAAGTAAAGATAGTGAAGGGAATTCAAAGGATGAAAACGGCTGGGGAAAGTTAGCTAAACAGTGACCAACAGCTAGCTAAAGGTAAGAAAGCTGTTTCTCTTCCTGCTTGTTTTTGCGGTTTGCTAGTCTCTTGACTAAACACAAAACTTAGCCAAAATGCTAACCTTGCTAGGCCAAGTATTCCAGTTTGAGTGACTTATTCGAAATGAATGTGTTAAAGAAATAGATTTGGATACAGGAAGACAAAGTCACAAGGTAAAAGTTTCCCGCACAGATTTTGGACAGGTGGTCCTTTGTGTTTTGGCACATGGAGCTCTTTGGTGTCAGTAGGTGTTTTTTGCAATCCCATATCCTCGTTCTTAAAGCTAGACTTTGCAGAAACAACTAACATTCTGAGTGTTTTTGCTCACGTCATAGTTTTTTTGAGCTACCCTATTTTCAGATTCTTGAAGCGACTCATCTCAAGTTTGTGCACATGGTTAAGTTTAGGCTTCTCCACATAGCTAAAACACGACAGTCAAAATATCCTACTGCTGCCACTGGTGTTGACATTTCGATGTTCACAGAGTCTCTTACTACTGTCTTGAAATAAAACACAACAGGTGCTGCTTTTATCTCACACATTTACCCGACAAACTGACATCACACTGATTTACACGCTGTCTGGAGGACAGTCTGGACGTTCACTGACGTATGTTTTGAACACCTCCCTGCCTCTACATTCATCACCTGACTTAGAGTTCAATTGAAGCGCTTTGTGGGGGGCTGGGATCCATCTCTCCTCTGAGTTATTATGTGCTGTAGCAGTGATTGATAAGGCTGTAGAGTGATTCATCAGTGACTAATTAATTAGATCTCTGTGTGATGACAGAGGTATGTGAAAGGGTGACATGGGGGGATGACCATCACTTGAGTGGATATGTTGTTGTGGTGTGGTGTAAGGATCATGTTGCAGGAGTGTTTGTGAAGTATCTGTTGTTTTAGACCAAATTTAGACCAATGATATGGGAAAACTAAATTATTATTAATTTATTATTTAATTCTAAAAATGATTCCTTTTATCTGATAGTAACTTAAAAGACCCAAATCCTTTGAATCTAGACAACTACACAGCTTTCTTTCTTTTCTTTCTGATTTATTTGTTGTTAAAATATGTACATGTATTTTTCATGGTGAAGAAAAGAAAGTCCTTGTAAAACTAGAGCAAAACCAAAAACTGGGATTTCTCGCTGAGAGTTATATCTTCTAAACTTTGATCTGAGCGTGTGAGAATGTAGACAAGGTGGAAGATTATTAGTCTGATAAATTTTGACTTAGTTTTAGTTGAAAACCATTAAAAAAAGATACTGGTAACACTTTACAATAATCATAACTTATAAATGGTAAGCAGATAGTTTATTAATGTTTAATCATCATTTATAAATAGCATATAGACAATTAATAAATTGTATTAATCTTTTACAAATTTTACAAAACCTAACCCTAACTTTACAATAACAATCTAAGTAATGTTTATAGATGATTTAAAAACCAAATATTAACCATTTACAAAGTGCTACTGACACTCATTTTGATCTAGATGTTTTACAACCAACGTTTAAACCCTATATAAACCTTTAATAAATAGTCCATTAATAATTAATGAAAAATTATTAATCATAATTTCATTGCTTGTTAATGGTAAAGTCACTATTAAATAAACTCAATAAACTATCTATTTGCCATTTACAATATGTCTATATGCTGTTTTTAAATGATGGTTAAAGATTAATAAACTATCTATTTACTATTTATAAATTATGGTTATTGTAAAGTGTTACCAGGATACTCAATAAACACTAAAAAAGAAGCCTGAAGTAACCTTGTACCAAGATCATTTCTGGGTAAAATATAGCTGTCATGACCACACCTACAGACCAATAGCCATTCATCTTCTCAACACTTGCATTAAATCCCTTGTATAAATTTAGAATAATGATGAGCTTGGGCCCACAACAACAGAGCCTTGTTATCTGGCCAACCCAGGACAACATCACCTCCTTATCCCCTGACAGGAAACTTGAAACCATTTGTCTTGGACTCTTTAGATGTTCTGGGCATCGTGGAGCATCATGGCTGCCAGTCAGATTCAGGAGCCAGTCCAATCATGGAGCAAGACTTGGAGCAGCCGTATGACATGCCAGTACAGCGCTGCCAGCTGTCAGTTAGACTCCAGTGCCTTCTATTTATACTCTGTTGTTAGGGGGGTGATGTAAAGGCGTCCTGATTTCCTGCAGCACAAGCCTATTTACTGCATAGTTTATTCTCAGTGAAGTCAGTTCAAGGTTTTAGGGATTTAGAAGATGAAAGAAAATATGTTGCGCCAAATTGAAGGTGTCATCTTGTATAGGTGCTAGATACAGTGTGTGCTACATAAGGCAGAAATGACTTCAAAACAGGTTTTAATGATGTTCCAGCCACAACTGGACACATTTACATACGAGCTGAGAAAGCTTAGAGGTCTGATTATAGTGTGCGTTTAGCTTAGCGCTTATATAGGACAGAACAAGTATACTCAAGTGTTGCTCATGTGATTTCTATTAAAGAATACAGGCATGCTTGCTTAGATGTGGCTCCCTATCCTCCTCATTGTCTAAATAAGTAAAAGTAAGAGTTGTTTAAAGCTCACTTCACCACATAGCACAAAACAAGCTGAACATATAATTTGGTTTTTATGATCACGGGCAGGCAAAATCATATTTGAAAATGAAATTCCAGGAGCTGCTGAGTCCTACCACAGCTACAAAAATGGAGCTCCTTGGCCTCCCAAACTCTTCAATTCTGTTATTTTTTATTTCCAAAAATGCCCCCCAAAAAGTTACTGATGTTACGTTGGCAGTACTTAGAGGATTTTTCTAGAAACAATCCACAGATCCAAATTAAAATCAGGCAAATTCCTCTAAACTTTTATTCCTAGTAATGATTTTTTAATTGGTTCAAAGTATTTACATTTTGACAGCCTGACTTTATAAGCTCAAAGACTAAACCCTACTCTTCCTCTGACTGTGTATCCCTGCAACAACACTTTGTGGCTTTTGAAAACTGCATTTCCGTCACCACATGCACTCACACACCTTTGCAGCCTCCACAGGAACGGTGTGAACTTTTTAAAGTCTAGTTGAGGTGTGTGCTAACCTCATTTATGCAGTGCTTTCCTGCTTAATTAATCTTTGTCTGCTGCTGAAGTAATTACAGCGATCTGGCTGACTGAGCGTCTACACACTACCGACACCGCCTTCTCCTCTCAGCTGCAGCTGGGCCTGGTTTTCCTCTCTGTGGTCTCTGGTGTCTGTCATACTGTAGCCTGTAGTTGACTATGATTTTGAGTGAATGGGGCTGGAGCTGTGTTCATTAGACTCCTGAAATTCGGTCAAACTTTGAATGTTAAAGAGGGTTGGATTTTAGGCTATGTACACCACAGGTTCATTCTGATTTTTTAACCACATGTGACACATATCTGATTTTTTGTATGTTGATATAAATCAGATATGTATCCGACGTGACTGCAGTGTGGACGCTGAGGCGCGTTTATCCGACCTATACGTCATCAATATGCGACAAAGCAATTTGTGCTTTGTGCGCATGCGGATCACTTCACGGACGCATTTCATTCACATCAGAGCAGTAGATTAAAACAGAGTGGCGACACTCCCATAGACATACGCTGTACAGCCCGGCGGACCCCACTTCCGGGTTATGGAACTCGTAATAGTTCCAACATGACCGCCTGACACGTCGGACGCCGTTCGCTTCTATGGCCACAAGGCAAGCGCTCACCGAGGTTAAATGATAGAATATCAACAAGTTTAATGCCAATACATGTGTTATTGATATCGAGGGGACCCCTTTATATGTAAAAATGTATATTCCAAATGTAATTACGTTATTTTAGTCAGGAATTGGGATCGATTTTTTAGCCACGGTTTGCTCCCACACTCCCCAAGGTAAAATATTGTATCAACGAATGTAATGCCAATACGTGTGTAAATGGTATCGAGGGACCCCTTTATATGTAAAATGATTTTAATTCTAGTATGCTCAAATTGTAATTACAAATGTAATTACGTTTTTTTAGTAAGGAATTGGGATCGATTTTTTAGCCACGGCCTGCTAGCTGGACGTCGTCAGCTGTAGAGGCCTGCCAAAATCTATTGTGTGACTGAGTTATGAATCACAGATAAATCATCATCATCAATCATATGTTGAGATGGTTACTTGTGGGCTTTATTTTAGATTTCAGCCTTTATCAGTTCCCGATGTTATATGCAGTTTATTCTTTTTAGACTAACATAAGTGCTATGTAATTTGATTTCTGCTTATGGGATGATAGAGTTAAGGGGCCGCTACTTTTTAAATCCTGTCAGCATTTAAGGCGTATGTTTAACATGAAAAAATGTTATGCAGGCCATGCTGCAAGACCAAAACATTGCACAATTGTTTAAACAGCTTGTAACACCTGTTACTTACCACTTTATTGTATTATTTTCTCTTATTAAAAAGTAACACGTGTTACCAAACTTGTCTTATTTCACTTTTATTTGTCATCCAGCCGCTAAATATGTGTACGTGACTTTGACGTGTACACAGTAATCCAATAAGAGTTGCAAATGTTGACTTTTTATGGTTAATTTTAATATTTACCTCTTAAATGCGCGCTCACTGCAGTCTGCCCCGTTGAAGAGCATGGACAGTGCAGGCTGCGTTTGGAACTCTGGAGGGGTACATGAACCACGTGACCGCTCCGGCGGCGAGATCTGAAGTTGTCGCCACTCTGTTTTAATCTACTGCTCTGATTCACATTAGATGCCGCATTCGTTGTTGTAATGTGAACGACCGACCGTATGAACGTAGCCGTATTCATTTGGTGCACCGGCAAATGTTTACAGTTTAGCAATGTTTTATTGTGTCTGAATATGAGAAATGTTGGATAAATTAACCAAAGTCATAGAACAGAATCATCTTAAAAGATAAACCAGGAAGTTGCACTGACAAGAACAGCACCTTTCTAAAACAAAGTCATTGAAATGTCAAGTTCAGAGCTTACTCTCCTAATTAACCTGATTTAGCAGCTGTACCTGTTCAAGGGTGTAACTTGATATTTAAACCCTTCTTGTTTCCCTGTGAAGGGCTGGCATCACATGTGGACTCCCAGGAGATTTTAAAAAGGTTCGATTTCAAAAGAACTGAGCTCCCCTCTGGCTTTCCGTCTGCTGTCTGACTCTTTCATTTCATTTTTATTCTCCAGCTGCTCTGTTCTTCTTCTTCTTCTTCTTCTTACACTGCTCTATCTGCCTTTTCTCTCATTAATTTTTCACTTCTTTCTTTTTTCCCCAAGCTTGTGGTTAAATGTGACGTGCAATTGAGCAGATTGTTTGGGGTAGCCATGCAAACTTTGGAGGGTTTGAAACAACAGGAGGGTTTATTTCAACAATTTGGTTTACATCTCTTTCACCCGACTCCTTGTGTTATTTAACCTCCCTCGCTAGTTTCTATACAGTTTTTTCTCTCCTTCGTTCCTCTCACTGTTTGTGATTTGGCTGGCCCTCGGATCACTGTCGCTTTTCGGAGTTTGTCACTGTTGTTATAAGGCTTTTGTCCAATCAGAGTTAAGAAAGAATCACAGCCAGGTGATTAGAGAGAAAGCTGGGTATTAAATTCAAGATAAGCAAATATCAGCTGATAAACTTGCCTGCGGTGAGATCAGCAGTATATATTTTCATACGCTTATTTGTAGATCCTTCATGAAAA